GGGGCAGAGGGGGGGGGGGGGCCGGGGGGGGGAAGGAGATTGATTTGTAATCGGCGAGGAAGGGGTGTGGGGCCGAAGGGAGCGGGTCAAACAAACGAACGCAATAATGCACTTCGATCGACGGTCAAACATCAAAGCAGATATGCTTTTTTTTCACTATTCGTAAAACGTTGTAGGACACACTTGTTAATTCGTTCTCACTCACTGGAACCGATGAAAGCGAGGGGGATGATCGTCGTCCCAACGGACTGAGGGGGCGTGCTACATTCCATTTTATTACTATATTGGTGGCCATACACGCGTGTACGCCCCACTCGTAACACGTTCTCGACATCGTCCACGTTAATTCGTTTTTTTTCTCTTTTTTTTCTGGTTCTCGTTTGCTTTTGTTTGGCCAGGCATGCACAAATGTAAAGACAGCATTTTTTTGTTTTTCGTTTGCTTGCTCATGGTTCTTCTCTCAGTATATCGCGAAGAAGGCAAAGAAAAGTGCCCCTCTAAATGCATTTTGTTTTGCAGTCTCCCGTTTCTATCTTACCGCAAGGTGCGTGTCCTTTGCAGAAGTACTTTCTGCGTGCTTCGTAAATTCAATGCGTGTTATATCGAATGATTTGTTTGGTTTTTTATTTGTTTGGAATTAACCGTACGTACGTGCGTGTTTTTAGGGCCACGCAATCGCTAAAGATCTCCCCATCCCACCCCGAACTGCCACCTGCCGAGTTGTTTTCTTTTGCTTATGAGTTATTAAGAGTTTTTTTGTATTTCTTCTGTGTCTCAGTTTTATATACGCAATATAACACTCACTACAGTTAGAGTTACGAGACGTCCTGATCTTCCACATCTTGCAGCTGTTCCTTCTGTTCACCCTCCCCTGTACAAGAACATGGAAAGTCGTTAATAAACATTCGTTGTCGTGTAATTATGCGATATGCAGATTATGAAAGTGAGCAATGTATCGATTGCTGGAGCGGTAATTGACGTGTGAAGGTGTTAACATTATGAGGACAATAACAAGAAGGGATGGGGTTTGCTCACCAGGTGACTAAAAAGGGATGTATGCCTATGTTCAAGCGTTGGTGGATATAGCAGCAGCCTGGTTTTCACGATCGGCCTCAAACTCTAAATTACAAAGTAGTGATTCTTTGTCCGAAATACAATTTTTAACACCGTAACAATGTGGTCGAAAAGATCTCCACCGTTACAAGATTAAACGTGGTGTTTAAAAAATAATTGAACTCGTAATAAAATTTTGATAGACAAACTAGCTAGCTAGCTGTGGAACAGGGCGATAAAATCTTCTATATAACAAGGAAGATTTTATCACGCTAGGTGCAATATATATTATTGATCGTCGCGATGCCACTCTCCGACGGCCTGATGGAAGTGTTTCAAAGAGTGCTAAAAAAGCGTTCCTGTCTTCTGGGACCATACTAACCTTCTCCTTGCATATCCGACGTCCACAAAGTCAAATTGTCCCTGAGGAGCTGCATAATGAGGGTGGAATCCTTGTAACTATCCTCGGATAAAGTGTCTAGTTCCGCGATCGCGTCGTCAAAGGCTGCCTTCGCTAGGCGACACGCTCTGTCTGGGCAGTTCAGTATCTCGTAATAGAATACAGAGAAGTTTAGCGCTAATCCTAAACGGATGGGATGAGTCGGAGGCAGGTCTGTCATCGCGGTGTCGCTGGCCGCTTTGTAAGCCACTAGCGAGTTTTCTGCTGCCTCCTTCCTGTCGTTACCGATGGCGAACTCGGCCAGGTAACGGTGGTAGTCGCCCTTCCTGCAATTACATTCAATTAGACATTCTACATTCGTTTCTACCTTCGTTTCTTCCTTCCATTTCCTTCTATTTCGTCACAATCATTCAGTGAGTCAAGTTACATTCATTAACGCTGAATGAAACAGCTTCAGGATTTTTGTCATACAGCTATTGAATTATAATTATAATACATACTAATCGCTTTTAGCGTTTGATAGAAACTTCGATGTTAAAACAACAGTTTCAAAAAGTTTAACGTAATAAGTTTCTATTTACGCGTCATGCTTTCACAAATTAATCCTCAAGGATGAGAATTTACACAAACATCAACAGTCTGGTTAGGATATACGCCCTGTACAGTTTCCCCCTCTTCCTCTTTTTCTAGTAACCTGGCATTAATATTCATCAGAGTATTAAATTTAATGAGATGCCGACATGTAGAAAGTATCTGATTTATCTATAATTCAATAAAAGTTAGTATTCGCGGGAGGGATATTGCCGCGGTCGCCCCTTGTTAAAATCAAGCGAAGGAGTAATAGCTTCGACTTTTAAACTAATAGTATTTTTACTGCCAGTTATTTGTAAATCATATTTCAATCTCAGTAATTATCGAACCAGACGGCAGCAAGTTTTAAAAACCAATACCTCAAAAACCAGTGACCGAAACGAAACGCTCTTCCGCATTGAATGCCTTTTAATCAACGCCGGCACGCTAGCGAGGCAGAAGCTTGATATTTAAAACAAGCTTAAAGCACATCTAAAATATTCCCTACTAGAGTCTAGTATATTTTTCAAACTGTGGAAAATATTATCTCCATTGATAAAGCATATATATTGCAGTTCTTTACATTTTAATTAGTATTTTAACCACTGGAAAGGCTTCTTAAGACGTTCAACTATTTCTCGGGAATTGTTATTCCCAAAAGAATGAAAGAAGAAAATTCTCGGCAATTAAACAAAACCTATTGCTAAACTTCCAGTAAGTAAAAAGTGCTAAAAATCTGGACACATTTGTGAATGTACAGGGCTTCTTACATTTTGTAATAAAAGACTTTCGATTCGCCAGTGGATGCATATGGAATCAGATGTTTATCCAGGACACCGAGGATATCGGCGCAGATGTCTTTCAGCTCTTTCTCTACTTGGGACCGGTACTGACGGATCATTTCGAGTTTGCCTTCGGCGCCCTTGCTCTCCTCCTTTTGTTCGATGCTCGAGATTATTCTCCAGGAAGCTCTTCTCGCCCCGATTACGTTTTTGTAGGCAACAGAAAGAAGGTTCCTCTCCTCGACGGTCAGCTCTACGTCCAGCGAAGCGACCTTCTTCATCGCCTCAACCATCTCTGTAAATCACATCGACGGCCACAGCCGTCGACAACGATGCCATTATAGTGAAAACCACTCAACATAAATACACGCGAAACAATCAAACAGAAGCAACGTTTGCTGCTTCATGAAATTATGTGGAAACACTTCCTTAATTATAAGTCGGATTTTATAGAAGAGAAACATTGAAATTGTTCGTATATTGTTGGCAAATAAATTGATATTAATTGTCCCCAACGATAGAGGGTCGCCGATTTTTGCGGACGGTTAGTACAGTGTCTGAAAAACATAATATCGTTGATTCGTGTTAATAAGGATCTGTTATTTTGAAGTGATACTTGCCCGAAGAATATTATGTAAAATCATGGCAGAGCAATGAGTTGGAAATGACTTATCGATTATTAATATGTAGCTACCCCGCGTGGATATATTATTAGTTTCATCTGGGGATGATGGCGAGCTTCGGCGTGAGAAGATGAGCGCGCGGGCATACATATATTAACCTGCTGCCCCTTGAACTTTCCAAGGAAGTTGTTAACTATTATGTATTTATTACCTATAGGTGCGAAGCATGCGAGAATAATGATATCGATCGAAACATACACTTATCGCTTGAAAGTCTGTGAGCATTTTCTTAATTGTAATTACCTGCAAATATTTACAAAACTATTTATTCAAACAAATATGCATTCTACATTCGTTATAAAAAAATTAATTCAGTGAAATTGTAATCGTTCATATACTTTTGAAACGCAGTATTATATATATATAAGTATTTTGATGTTTCCCCGGTTGCAATAAGGAGAGATCAGGGAATTCCATCGTTCAAAAAAGAACATCCGAGTCGTATTTTGTTAAAAATTGCCGTGTCGCATTTGTGGGTAAGGGCGAAATTTTTGATGTCCACGAAACAAGACCGATAACCGGGTGAAAAAAATGGTATTAAAGAGACACGAGACAACGAGACAGATTAAAGACACGGCCTTTACATTCGGAATTCCAAGACTCCTTTTCTCGTAACGAACGACTCTCGAACGACTCTTACTAACAAAAATACAAATCACGAAACAATTAATTGATCACCTAAAGATCGTCGATGCAATCATTTCTTTACCCTGCTTGTACGTCTATCGATTCGAATCGATATCTATGCACCCTCTTTTTTTATTGTCCTCCCGTAAAAGACAAGGGTGGCGTCATGGTGGTGGCATCTACGGTCAGAATGAACCCGGGCTGAAACCAGGTTAAATAAATACCTAGAAACAGTTTCGGTTAACATTTTGTCGTGTACTACCCGTCGAACGAACATACGACTTCCGACTGTAAAGAATAAATCAAATATCACTGAAGTTGCATCGAATAAAACGCAATGATCGAACCTATAAAAATCATCTTTCTTCGTTGTCCATCCGATGAAATTAATGTTCTCATCGATAGTTCTCAAGTTCATGGTGGTTCCGGGTAAAAATTACCGTGAACGCGGTATACAATGATGGAGGTCTACAGAAACGTAGGATATAGCGAGCACAGATCAATACTTTCCTTCTACTATGGCCCCCTCTTCCTTCCCTCTCTCCACCTTCTCGCTGTCTCTCACCCCGATACCGTTCTCACCCTCCGTCGTGATCTCTCTCTCTCTCTCTCTCTCTCTCTCTCGTACTTGGTCTCTCATTCGCAACCCTCAAATTTGCCCATCGCCCTTCCCCACCTTTATGCTCTCCTCTCCTCTCTCTCATTCAGCCCGCTTATCGCCTCCTCTCCCTTCCATCCCTGTCATTCTCCAGGCTTGCTACCTGTTTCGACGGAAAGATCGTGCGTGTGCACGCATTTCCATGTTTTAATTTTTGTCTAACGATGCACGGAGTCGATCCAGACCCGAGTGTATCTTAAAAAATTGATGAAACAGCACCCTATAGTCGGGTCGAGGGAATCGCGGGCGTAAACGACACGCTGCGATTTTAAATACCGAGTTCGAAATACTTGTACGAATAAAAAACGTTCCAGATTTGATGGATTCAGGCGCGGCCGCGCGCGCAATTACCGAACCGTTAGTATCATACTATGACGGCTAATACGTGTCTGCCTCGAATAATGTGCCCACGCAAGCACTAAATTCTGAAAACCGGATGAACGATCTCGTCGTTATTAATCTTGTTTCGTTTAGAACCATTGTAAAAGGGAAATCTTCTCGACATGTCACGTGACAACGGGATCGCTTGTCTGCCGATTTCGACCGACCAATCGGTGGACAATAAATAGACCCTGTTCACGAATCGACAGACTACATTTATGCACACGATAAATGTCAAATGTTCAATCGAACTACTGGTATGGATCGAGCGAGAAGGAAACTCTGTGCGGAAAGAAATGCAAGAAATTACAAGATTTAACGGTTATTCTTAGTTAGTCTCGGTATATCCACATTTGCAAGTCCATTTTCGCAAGAGAGCAAAATAATAATTTCTACAGTCTGCGAACGTAAGTACGTAGAACGATACGTAGAGCATGTAATAGGGGAAAATGGCTGGTGATTAACGACACCGGATACGTAGCCTAGGAAAACGCGAGCCGATCTACCGGAAAAGCATAGTCGATAGATCGGTTGCTCGATCGGTCGAGCGATTTCTCTGTGTTTTCAAGGCCGAATACCACGAGCAAAGCACGCATTACTACGTGTCGAAAGAGGAGTATAACCCGGCGGCGATTGGTAAGAGCCGTGCCGTGTCTATGCATCACATGCGTCGGTGAAAGACCGACTTTGTCCAGTTATCTGCCGTGAGGCCTCCTAAAGTACTCGAGACGGACAGTACGCCTAGCAACGGCGTTGACCAGCTTTCGATGAAACAATGCACAGCTCTAGAAAGGTCGAGCTCTCCGAAGGTTTAGAGACTACCCGCGGCCTAGTCGTCTCAAGTCCGTGTAATTTGAAATACCATGACAGAGTCTAGGGAACCGGTGACAGAACCGAAGGGCCAGCCCATTTTTTTTAAAATAAAGGAATAAAGAAAGACCGATCGGTCGAACCGGCGACTCGATATCGTATTGCGGCGATTAGTCGTATTTGACGTTTCCACGACATTTGACAGATCCGATTGGACACACGATATCACGGTTATGACTATGTGTCTGTTCGTCGAGGCAGTTCCCGATTCTGTCGGAATAAATTCGGAATGCGATAGGGTCGCGACCCACGAGGATCGTGTTCTACCTCCTTTCTCTTTGTGGCCGTGCTCTCCTCTGTCTGTCTGTCCGATTTCGTGGATTTCATTTTGGCGCAAGCCGGGTCCTTTCCCGGAAAATATCTACTCACCGTCGTAACGCTCCGCCTGCTCCGCCAGTTTCGCTTTGTAAACGTTGTCCTCCCGTTCCGACATCTTGGATGCTTCTAGATTTCACGGGCCGGACGAAAGGTTCCAGGGAAATCGCACGAAATCCTCGTTTCACCGAAATACGTACACCTCGTCGTACAGCCACTCGCAAGCTCACTGACCAAGATGGCGGCGCCCGCCAACAATCGAAAGCAGTTCCCAGTTCGCGCAGCCTCTGCGGACACTCCACTCGCCATGCGCTCCCTGTCTCGTGTATTACTACGCCATTCGTGACGTCATTCGTTCGGCGGCCACCAAAGGCCCCACGCGCATGACGGTTAAATTCGCCCCGAATATCCCCGTATATCCGGTCTATCAAAACCTGGCCAAGTTTCATTTGAAATTGAAATAGCTGATAATTGGACTGCAGATGTTTATGCAATTTCGAGTTTTTTTATGAACAGCTTTCCGAAGGCCGATATCTATTCAGACACATGTCTTCATTACAATAATATCCCGATCGACTTGAAGTAACCTTAAAAATCTCATGAAATTTTAATAGAAATCATTGTTTTTGTTCATCTATATTTGTACTGATATTATTGTAGGACATTGCAACTACATTATCTAATGATCAAATTGAATGTTAAATTGTTTCTGAAATTGTTCAATTTCAAGCATAAGGATATTGTTGCACTGGTAAAACTTCGGTGCAACGATGCAGAATAAATTCATGTATACAGATTTTGTAGAATACCTATTACTACATGGAAAATATAAAAAACAAACCGAAAGTTATCCGGTATGGACATCTTTGTAATTGCGAAGGGAGCAAATCTATGTATCTGCAATAATACTTCAATTGCTATTGTAAAAGTACCTCAAACTGTAGAACGAGAACAACGTAGTTTCTTGGCGATCGCAATAAATAACGAATACTTGAATATATTTTAGTCGCACGTCATAAAATCGATGACGCACAATGGCTAACCGGAACAAAGAATTACAACGAAAAACTGAAAGAAAAACTTTACCACGGAAATTGAAACGCAATAAAAAAAGTAGTTCAGATTTGTCTGGATTTAGATGAGAATTAATGGTGCTCATTGGATTCGTCAGTTTCAGCTTGTGATAACATAAAGTCGTTCAGCGCGGCCAATTTGAAAACTAAAGTAAAGCAACACACGATATAACAAGAAATGGATCGATCAGTGGGTAGCAATAAAATGTTCAACGATGATCGTTACCCGTTCACGACCGTTCATTTTTAATTTGTTACAATAAATCAATACAATTCATTCGATGGAACAAAGGCTATGGTTATTTATCGTATAAATAATTGCACCATTTGTGCGATCAACGGGTGTTACATAGGAGATGATGCCGAAAGGCAAATATGTGAATGCTACAAAGATATTTTCGTTTCTCTCTCTCTCTCTCTCTCTCTTTCTCTCTTTTTGTAGCGAAGCATTCGTATTTTATAGTTTCACACGAATAGCTAATGTACAAGCACTAATATAATCCAAACGTCTTCTATCCGTCTTAACTTATCCTCTTTTAAATTATTCATTTTTTGTATAGTTAATTCGTATTTATATGTATACAGATATATCCGATTATTATCCACTATTAAAATTATAATACAGCCAAAATACTTAATCGTAACAATCATCATAAACATTGGTTGCAAGCTAGGTGTTCCGTTCAGTATAGTCTCCTACGGACCGGAATAATTAACTGTCAATATACAAACACTATGAACGGAACCATTGTACGATGTGCTTGTAAGAGGGATATACAATGGTTTTTATTATCATATATACATATATGGACATACATACATACATACATACATACATACATACATACATATATACGTACGTACGCAAGTAATACGCGCACGGTCGCGTATCCTGTACCTGTGTATGGATGTGTGCGTGTCTACATACTATAGTATTCGAAAAAAAGGTATTCCTGCGTTTTTTATGTCCGGTTATGTCACAAGAATCCTTCGAATGGGACAACTTATTACAATTTGTTGGCTCTTGGAGTTGACTTCGAATTTTCTTTGCGCTCTTGTTGCATTGATACCAAATATATTTCATTACATTAGTTCGACGGAGTGTATTAGTTAATTAGGCTAGCATAGGCTACCAGCCTATCTTTGTGGAACATTTAGCGTCTACGTCTGCACGGAAAACATTGCAGAAATTTGGAAGCGTATCCATTCACCGTATTATATATGTATTTGTTTTCTTCGTACTCATCATAGTCGTACGTTACAATCACCAATCGCACCTCATTGCTACAAATACTTCATATCCGCAGGAACATTTCTTCGAAAAAGCGGTTACAGATTGTCGCCATCAGTGTAACGAATGCCGCCTCTTATCCAATCATTATTTTCTTTTTTATTTTCTCGCAAAGGTTAAGACGTGGCAGTCGAGTGAATAGTCTGGCCGCACCGCCGCACGTGTAAATGACCAATATGTAAAAAAGGCATCGCCTACTGTATCTACTTTTACATAAATAATTCAATAAGGCGTTTCAGACACACTAAACATGGTTGCTTCCCTCGTTTCCTCCGGTTTTACATACTCAGCGGTACTATGAAAATTTGTTTCTCTATGCTTATCAATTCGCTGAAATTAACACTGGCATCGCATCGAGCATCGAAAATACATGTTTATAGTCTACGTAAGTACTCCCCGCGATAGATGCGCAAGAACCATTCCGTCAGAAAATTCATTATATTTTCTGAAGTTCGGTATTTACGATCGATCTCGTTAGAACTTACAGTCAGTTCTTCGGTTTCTAATAAAAAAAAAAACAAAAAAAAAACAAATCGATTACATATCTAGACTCATTTAGAACAAATCGCGAATACTGCAGTTAGCACTTAAGTGGATTCTCGTGTATGATTCCAACTCCCAGTTGTAATTGTGGCTTCACTCACCACACCGATGCTTTCGTTATAAAAAATCATCATCAATCTTATTGCTATTTCAGTTTGGAACCGAAGTAACAAAATCTCTTGTAACTTATTATCGCTTATTAATAGTATCTGGATCATTTTGCGAATGTATCGTTTATGTATATTACGTGTCCGACCTAGTGGCGAATACAGAAAATTTTCTCAGTGTCTATACAAAAGTTGTATGCAAAAGCATTAATTGGGCCGTACGGATTCAATGCATCAATCTACAGGTTGTTTAGAAAAAGTAGGTGTTAATGAGAGGGATGTAGTGACAATATAGACAGAAGGACGCGTAGAACAACGGGGTGGAGCAGGGGTCAGAATGTGGAGGCAATGATAAACTACAAAACACTCGTCTTAATGTGTCAAAATATGCCGACGTTTTGTCCAGTTCATTGGAAGAAGTTACAACTACATCATGATCTCTAACAACCCCATTGTCGTGTCAGCATTTCTTAAAAGCAATAGTCTCCACCACGGAAAGTGATCTCTAATATATCGACTATTTCGCACTTTAAACAAATCCAAACATTTTCCATACTGTATATTAGCGGTCACATCATTATTAATTGATAGAATTATATAATAAGCTAAAATATATGTGGACATCGTGACCAGTCACCTTTACTTTTACATTCCCAGTACTCGCCACCGTATACGTAGCACAGACTGTCTGTATAAGGATCCTGCTCTTTCTTAAACCACAACGGTACATACGTTTCGTACGGTAAACCTGACATAAATTAAAATCTTTTAATAGTATTCGTTTCTCAATCGAGTTCGGTAGCACATATATAGCTTGTCTACAAATTTCTGCCGTTTGAAATAATTGCCAAGTGTGAGAATACGTTTTTTCGTGTCACCTATCACGAAATAAATATTTCAAATAACAAAAATTTCTAGACATCATGTATATTCTTGTAATAAATACTGAATGACATACCTTGAGCAGCTGCTTTCTCAGCATCGTGTTCCCGAGCACGCCGGACGGCCCTCTGTTTCTCTTCTAATCGAAGTTTCTCTGCATTTGCCTCGTCCCATTGGCCGATTTCCATCAACCTCTGATCAGGCCTAAATCGGGAATCTGTTGGAGCTATACCCTCCTCGGGCTCGTTCAGTTGGCAAGCTAATTCCGTGAAGTTGTAATACTTTTCGCAGTCTTCGCTATAAAATGAACTCCAATCGATTAAATTTGCGATGACATGCGCAACAGAAATTATTATTTCAACAAATGCTTACGATGGCATACGCCTCTTCCAAGCGAGTATGTAAGGCCCTGTTTTATAAACTGGATTGTCTGTTGTGCCAGACGTACTAATTACAGGTGCAATTTCTATCTTCGAATCCCATGTGCCTTGTACTACCCACTTGACTTCGTTATTCGAATTCATAACTACTCCCTTCACCTTACGTTGACTATCCCGCGAAAAGTACGAGTATGGTGTGTACTTCAAATGGCACTTGATACCTTCTTTGTGATTGATTATGTCTGTATCACCGCTTTGATCAACCCATAATTTCCCTACTATAATATTGTGTACAGTGGTCGTGACTTTCCGCCACGTGTAATGTTGCATACCCCCTTCCATCTCGAGGTGAGCAGTTCCCAATGGTATTACCTGCATTGACGTTCAAATTATTTCTATCGAATACATTTAATCAAACGACAGTTTGTATCACCATTAAATTTACTTGAAGGTATTTTCCACGGAATTTGGACGCCATGGTGAACTCTTGCCAGCAACGCCATTTTCGGCCTTCGCAATGTTGCGCCAACATAGGAGGATGATGAGATACCTGTTCTGAAATTGCTCTCCATCCTAAATCATCGATTCTATCGCATTCATACGTTTCGCCTAATAATGGATTAAAAGGTTTGCCAGTTCTAATGGCAGTTGTGGAATAACTGGATATAGTAAATGCAGCCACATAAGCCATTTGCTCGTAGCTATCTGTACATTCTGCTGCCCTATTACAAATGGAGGTAAATGTAATCTTTATTTCTATCAAGAAAATCACAAAATGCAACATTAAATGTACCTGTCCAAAATATCTGCATATTCATAGTCTTCTGTCAGCCGCTGAAGCATACTAAGTGGCTCTGAGAAGTTGACAGGCATAGGAATTTTTGATAAATCTTTGCCAATGCAATTTTTCATGATACTCCATAGGTTTAATTGGTAATTTGGCTTTTCAGGTACATTAGACCTCCGTTGCTTTTGGGACCCAGCCCTGGTTACCCCGGAGCTGCCACTGCTGCCATTGTTGGTTTGCCAATTTGTCTGATGCAAAACAATAAATGTCAGCATTCTTTATCTAATGATATCATGATGCACAGAATGAGTCATCTGTAAATGGAATCCATAGGAAAAATTGATCTTCCATTTACTGTTGACTCGACTTCTTTAAGTGTACTTTGTCCAATGACATATTATACAGGTATCGTCCACTCACATTGTCCAGATTGTCTGTATTATCAGCGGATGAGGGAGTTTGTACTATTGTAGAGTCGGTCACAATAAGAAAGGAGTTTGCACCTTTATTTTCTGACACAGGCAATGGTGTTTGATCTCCTTCTGAACTAGAGCCATCATCGCTACCTTGGGAGTCAGTTCGATCTCTGGAATTGCTTGTTGCAACTCCTGGAATACTTAATGTAAACGTGTCTGATTCTTGAGCATCATAGAATTCTACATTGTCCTCCTCATCCTCGGATGGAGAAGTTGTGACCGTTGTGTCTATAACAGTTAGCAAAGCATTGTTCCCATCAGTCCACTGTTTAATTAAATCGGCTATTGTACATAAGCACACATACAGAAACGTGCAAGGTTAATAAAATTAAAGCCGATCAGCGGAACCGTTATTCAATCGCAACCTTGTAGAAACTTCTGAATCCAAAATAAGGAAAACCCTCAGGTGTTACCAGTTAGTTCGCCCGTTCAGATTAACGATAAAACGCAAATACATAAACACAAGAAATGCCGCGGGGCTATCGATACCGTTACGCAATAAACAGGTAAGTTTCGCGCCAATATGGAAATGTATCAAAAACGAGGCTGGGTATTCACTCTGAACTCGTATAACATATATGATCAAAAATATTTCAACTAGTTGCTGTACGAATAGACTAATCGCTCGACCCGTCCCCCTTGTCTGTATCATTCACAACGGCTTCCCTCTCAAACCGATTGAATCTCAGCAATGACAACTGCTACAATTTAATTGTACCGTCTACTACCCCCAATCACGGTCTACACCTGTAATACCGGAGGAGTAACGAACAGCGAATCACGAATCACTGAAGGTGCATTGAACACACACGTACGCTTCCTTTCTTTTTCTCTATCTCGTTTCGAACAGGCAACTGTAATGTATCGCGCATCAGGTTAAGCGCGGTGATCTCAAGATTGGATCTTTGTTAAAACGTGTTTGAAGCTACGGACCGCTTACGAGACGATGACAAGAAACTCTTTCTCCGTTCGTACGATACCGATAATTATCGGTTTAACATCTCCACACTGATCCTCTCACTCGGGTACGATCTGAGAGAATGTCGATATTACCAATCCGAGAATTTATCACATTGAATTTAGCGGGATGAAGTCACGGAAGAGAATTGTGTTGTAAAAACGCAGATGAAACAGTGAATTGCAAGGCCATCTGAGCCTGATTAAGCGCCAAGCTTGGGAGAACCGAAAGCACAGCCGTGTGCGTACATATATATATATGCTGGTTAGAAAGGTATTAGAGTGAACGTACATATCTATACATATATACGTAAGGAGTCTGTAGCAATCTGTAGACGTCACCGTAAAATGCTATGTACAGGACACACTTTGCATGCATAGATCACAAATCTACGAGTTCTGCCGTGGCATGGTTTTAAGTCGAATCAAGCGCCGCAACTGCCATCTTAAGAAGAGCCGCGATGCTATAAAAGGGCGCGAAAATTTCAAATTCAGATGCCGTGACCAAGCTTTTGGTTAGTGTACAAATGTGTACATAGATGAACATCAAATTTCATTTAATCGACATAAGTTTGGTTAAAACTGTAACAATCTGTAGCGAGGAATTAACAACTTCGCGGTCACATGCTTATTTAGATAATATAAAATTCTACCATCATGTAATTTTAAACAGTAAACAAAGATAGGAAAATAAGTTACATACCCTTCTAAAAATAACTAATTTTAGCACGAGAAAAATAATGTTAACTTCTCCGAATAACAGTACAAAAAATAAAAGATTTTTTTACTTCGTTTGTTAGTCCTAGCTTTATTCAGGGGAGCTGTTAATATTTATAAACACATCTTTAAGCATCTTCTTTTGATAAACGGATAATCAGGAGCACTAACCGTAACAAAAGCGTACGAAATCTCGTGTACGGTTAGTTTTTAGCTGTGCACTAGTGTATTGAATACAGCAACCCGTTACCCAGGAACATGGCAAATCAACTGACAGCAGACATATACGTACGTGACAATATGCTTTGCATACATTTTCTCGATCACTAAATACAAAACCAACAATAAATGGCATAATCAACATGGTACCGTGAACGTTGCACTTAGGGTGAAAGCTCAACACAGTGTGGATAATGGGCAAGCAACCGTGTATGATTTTCTCTGGCATTAGCACACATATCAATCTTGTTATCTTACATCTGTATACTATAGTTTGTTTTATCAGAAAAGAGATAAGAGACATTCGAGATTCATCACAGTTATAATAACTATCCACCCTACTTCAGGCATATTGTACGTAGACCGTAGGAATAGACTGGACACGTATTAAGTTTCATTTATACTCACCGACGAGCCGAGCACGAGCCGAGCGGATTGATAGTGTTGAATTTCGTTATACTGACGTGCGTTTGCATGTGAGAAATAATAATAAAACACTATCAATCAGCTCGGATCGTGCTCGGCTCATCGGTGAGTATAAATGAACCTTTATAACTGTGTTTGTATCTCAAACTCAATTCCCTTCTAAAAAAACAGATTATAGCTACAGTATTACTGGCCGTGCCCAAAGATTAAAGAATAGAAATTTAATTACGCGAAGATCTGTGCCCCCCTGCTGGAACCGCCGACGGTATCGCATGCTGTGCAGCTTCTTCCAAGTGGGAGTGCTGCCTAGCCAGTTGTTCGACCATTTTCTCTATCCGCACCTTCTGATCACGTTCGTGCTGCAGCATTTTCTTCCATTTGGGCTCCTGCTGCTGTGCTAGTTGCAAATACTCATTGCTACTCTGAAATCACAATTTATCCTATTTTCCACGCGATTGTTACACCATCACTATTAATCCATGAGAGATTAGTAAACACTGGAATGTTATTTGTTAAACCAGATAATAAACAACTGATTATGTCATGTCATGCGTATGGTATTTACTTGTGAATGGAGCATGCTACTTAATTTTCTGCTTGTAAAAACCCAGACAAATTCAATTAAATTAAGCTCTTTTATCACCATACAATTGTTTGAACATGGAAATAGTATTTATTACGATTGCTATGCTATTATAGCAAATTAGTAGGATTGCTAGGCTGCACCATGACCATCTTTACACATCAAAGGTTTAGAAACAAACTGCAAACATGTGTATCTGTATATTAATGTTAACGAGAGTCTTTCAACTTACATTAACCATAGCATTGGCTGCAATACGAAACAGCGCGGCTCGTTCGTTGACTGTCTTTATTTTCGCTGACAATTCCGGTGACGGAGGTTCAATCGCTTCGAGGTCATTCAAGGACCGTTGAAGCATCGTGCCTCTCTTGTTAATCAAATCGTAACAGGATTGTAACTCCTCTAATCGTTGGGACAGGTCCTTTATCACAGACACGTTTTCTGGCTTTTGACTATCGTTGTCCTGGAATTCCTCCTCCTCTTCTTCTGAAACAAATCACAATCTACATAATATTGCTATCTAAAAATCTCGTATACCATTGCGTCTTGTCAAGAATATCGATGTGTTACATGCTAGTTAAAATAGGAATCTCTTGAGATTGAAGAAAGATCTATCATTCCTTGCATCACTACAAGGAATTGTATACTGCAACTTAAACAATGAAAGTCATCCTAAATATGACTGAATGCATTTCAACAAAAACTATATTTGTTTTGAGTCACGACTCATAGGTCGAAATTGATAACGTGCGATCGATCGAACTTGGACGTCTTTGAGTCACATAAATAAATTAAAATATTCACAGCAAAACTCGAGCGATATAAGGAAAAAATATTGCTTAATGTATTACACATGGGCAGAAAAAGATAACCATAAGCGTAATAGTATTCACGGCAATCTACATTCCCTTTCCTGCTATCTCGGTTTCCGTTTATCTTATCAGTTACTGAAGTCTTATGAAACAATAGAGTGTCACACGGTATTTTACTTCATTGTTGTGAAGACAAGTCTCCTATGAAGTTGAGATCACTACTGCAGTAATGGGAGAAACGCGAATTGGATATAGTGATCTTTGTTTCCTGAAGGATGCTGACGTAACTCCGCCGTGTGTTTTTGCTAAAGCTGTTGCAGTTAACACACTTTTTGAAATACATATATAGGTATGTAAGTGGTATCACAGCAATGATAAATTATAGTAGCGAATACTAATTTCCAATTGAGAATAATTTACAGAGTATTTCTTTTATTGCCTGTGCTTAAGTCATCAATCAGGGATCAGTACATGAAAAAGTCTGTCATCCCTACTTAGTATATGTCTTCCCAGAGACAATTGCCTTTAATGCCATACTACAGAGTCTGCAGAGGGTTAATAGGTTCATTATTGAATATAACCAAGTCTTGTTGAGAATTTGCACCTAATGGTGCATACAAAGAAAGAATCATTCCTGGACCAACTTTAGATCAGTAATAGATAGATCAGCAAGATCAACTTTATCAAATTGAATTATCCTCTGACTACATATAATTCTTCTATTAAGATATTTTGCTATGAATAAAACAAGAATGTTACCACCCTGAACATGAACTACTCTATGAAAAATTCATATGTTAAAGGTGTTTTGTTTTGTAATAGAGTTGTAAGTTTCCTGTCCAAGAAACCTTCTTACTGAATTTTTGCTCTAACTAAACTGGCTGAAACGTACACGGATTCCTGTTTCCTAGCACTAGCACCTTGTGATTAGCCATATTAAAAATTTCAGACTTTCACGGCTGGGATTATTTATTGATGTTTTCAAGTGTTCCTTTAGCATTGCAGTTGACTTTATCAGGGGGTTCTGGAACTCAGTTGTACTTGCGGACACCCAGTGACCTCAACAAACGACATGGGTGATTAGCATCAATGAATAGGAATGGAAGAAAGAATTATTTTCTCATACAGACCGGATTCCATCGCCTGGATGGCCTTGGCCTTCGCCAACTCAAGGGCCGTGACCCACTGTTGACGTTCCACCTCTGTTGACGCCTTGATATGGAAGGTTTGCGTGCCGCCATTGCTCACAACGAACGTACAAGCGTCTACGGTGTGTATTAAGGCCCCGTGCAAAGATATTGTGCCGCGGCACGTGTGCGACATCTCGGCCGGACTTCTAAACAGAGAAAAGGAAACGCGAACAGTTCCGTGGACAGATCCTTCGACCGATGGGAAACCGTATGACACAGAGAAAGACAGACGTGAGTTTGCAATAGGTAAAAAATGCTTGCTTGCTCTGCATCAACAAACCGAAGGTTTATCCAAGCCAGAGGAAATGCTTCCGATTCGTCATAAGAAACACACATGTGTGTTACAAATGAAAGAGAGCAATTAGTACGATCACTCGTTTCGTCACACCATAGTTTCCCAACGCCTTACTTCGGAAAATTTCTGTGTAACGTTCGAGTTTTAAAATAACCAATATCTAAAATTTGGCGTTGGAAAACTATGCGTCACATACATTTTGCTACAAGGAAATATGCTCCATTGGCTGTTCAACTTAACGCCTTCTCGACGGATGACGCATCTTAGCGTCAAATGGTTTTTTAAATAGTAGGACGCTATTTTAGGTGCTCTAGTCTTATACGCCTAATGGTTACTCTATCTTCATATTTGGTGGAAGTATTCCAATTTACATTGCACGAACAGATTTAAACCGAACGTTAAATTGAACGGACAATATTATGGCTGCGATCCCAATTTACCGAAGATTTGATAGAATCAGCGAACGAAGAATACTTTCACCGTAACAACCGTAGAGGGTGTACGTGAATTGCGGGTACGGTAATAAACGAATCGTAAATACCCGCAGAGTATGCACCCATAATTCGTCTGCATCTAGAGCACCGAATAACCACAAAATAAGTTGGCGACAGTTTACGTTAGACACTAACAATATAATGAATGTATGTATATGTATGCATGTATATTAGAACGCAGGAAACAAGAATGCCAATATTAGCAGAATCAGTTATATGTACTGTTTTTAAGCAGTTCCATTACCATTATTGTTCGACACGCCACCAGTTCTTTATGCAAAATTATCAGAAACAACCAAAATATAACCTGATGGAAAAGAAATCTCAGATAAAGGGGTGAAAGGGCGATGAGGTGAGATTTGCCCGATAATTTAGAGAGAGGGGAGCAGTGTGTCGGTTCAAGGTCGAGCGGTTCAGCCGATCATTCTGAAACGATGCGTTCAGAAATTATTATTATTATTGCATATTATAAAAATAATAACAATTTTTCGGCTAGAAAAATTACGATTCAAACGATCCTCGACCGTTCCTTATCGGATTTCCATTAATGACCAAATGTGTGTACGTGTGCACGTGTGTACAATTAGAGCGAAGCTCAACAAAATCATATGGTTTTTTGCAAAACTTTTTAACACTGGAACCACCGGTGTAGATGTAATTATAAAGTATTGAAAAATTTCTATATACTAGTATAAGTTAATTAATTTTGGTGATCTCGTACATCGGTAGTTCTAACGTTTTTGCGAGACATGGAGTTACGAATGCGAAACATAATAACAGACGTAAAGCTTTGATCTTGTTTACTTAATTGTTAATCGATCGACAAAAATATCGGTGCGTGCGTCGCGAGAACGCGGCCGGACGGGAACGAAGGTTCATTTACAACAGATTATCACAACATAAATTGGTAACGAATTGAATTATCGTGCGACAATTGTGTCGTGCGTATCAACGAAGGTCTAATACGGCGACTCTACTGCCCGTGTAAAGAAAGGCGAGTTAATTCGTTGTTGGTTAATAGGTTCAAGCCTGAAACGACCGGCGATAGAACAGACATGTCGTTTCATTCTTAGTAAAGCAGCAACAGAAATATCGATATCGACGAACTGCCTATGCATATTGCAATTATATCTTGGATCGTATCCAACGGGTCAGTAAAAGTTCTACGTCCAGAAGACCTTCAGATTTGCGCGCTGGTATAGACGTAGACCACAGAACCACAAAAATGTACAATCTTAGTTATATCCCTTCCTTCTCATTGCACGCGCGCTTAACAAATTCTTAATTATAAAGTATATGAGATTAAAAGTTTGATGGAAAGGCTGGAAGGGGGCTCATTTTGAAATAATAAAATGTCGAAGAAGGTGAAGGGGGGGGGGTAATTAACAAATAATTAGGAACGCTAACGGTATACCGTATTATTAAGATGGCGCTAATATGTATATGTATAGGTAAATGTAAAACGGTAGGCAACTCCAACATCGTCTTTGTCTGCTTGATTAACGAGTTCGATTCAAAGAAGAGTCAGAATATTTCAGCTTTTCTTCGATTTAATTTTACTTACTCGGAGGCTCTGCCAGCCTTCCGCTTGCGTCGTGTTGATATCTTTGGCCCCCCTGTTGGTTCAGCCCTAAACAGTCCATAAAACAAATAGTCCCCGTTCACATGTTGTAACACTGAAGTAAAACGATATTTCTTTCAAAGTATCAAAAGTTTCTCTCTCTCTCTCTCTCTCTCTTTCTCTCTCTCTCGTTCGTTCACTCTTACACATTTAATCCTAGACGAGTTCTCCTAATGTCATAATCAAATGTACAATATTATTCTCGATCTTATTCGATTGTTGCTTCAGCGCGCTCTACAGAGTACCGCAGCAACTGTGCTGCAACCGAAAAATGAAAGATTCTACCTGCTCTTTTGATGTTCATTGCTGGAAGAACACCTCGTACATTTATCTCTCCTTTAATCTTTTATAAGTATAAAACGGTGCAATATCACCGTGTATGTGCGTCAACGATACGCAATTTTGTGCTGGAAGCGTTTGATATTTTTAATTGAAGTTGTGTGAAAATATAATATCAAGAATTGAGAAGGCGTTCAATCTTCTTTTCTGTATATACCTTTTTTCGGTCTGTTCTGTTTCGATCGCAATATTGAAAAAGCATTGCAAACTCAAATCATAAAACTGTGCCAAGCGGAAAGTCAACAGAAAGATCAACGGCGATTGTATATTGTGTAAGGGAGCGCGGTTATTCTAAATATAATGTAAACGGAACGGAATTTCCTCGGATGTGCGTAACGTGATGATCGCCAGAGAGGGGGCATCGTTTTTACCTATGGTCGGTAACTTTGGACGTTCGTTACGAGAAACGAAATATTTATGGCTGTTTCGTGGCGAAAAAGAAACAAAGCAAACTTTGGAATAGACTGCGAAACTTTACGCATAGTAATGCAATATGAAAAGTTCAACGACATCGCCTAACTTTGTTTCAGATTTCTTGAAATTAGTCGCACGAGAAGAATGGTTTTGATCACTTCGAAATTGCATAAACCTGCGCAGCCTGGCTCTGCGTAATCAAAGCAAGACCCCGCGTCGTGTTCGAAAAGTATAAAAGACAAATATGCAATAAATCTTCTCTGATGCGTGCGACGAACGTAAGTACTATATGCAAAAAATATGTGATCCATGATGAATGATTTGTGTGTGTCCAGACGATTTAACTCGATATTTTAAGGTATAAATGATCCAGAATTATCGTATTTCGCGTTCTACGATACGTACGTGCTGAATTGTTCGCAATTTAAATTGGTTACTTAAATGTAATTCTCAAACAATACTGTGATTAATAGACTGCGGATTTTGTGCATTTACACTCAAAGCCGTAATAAAATAAAACATTCGATCACATTTGGTATACAGTTTTCACAAATAAATTTCAATGACCGCGTTTATAAACGAGCTAAATTATCATTCAACATAAAATTCCGCAAGTCTAATGATCAGACTTGACTAAGAATACTTGGATAAACCATATCGATAATAATATCTGTGATTGATCCTGCGCTGACTACTTATGCGCATGCAACTTTGTACCTTTGAACATTTAGTATGGTACCTTATTTGTTGTACAATATAAACCACTGGAGTCATGAATGATTAGACTATGAATACCGCTACGAACATAAATTTTGATCGACCTATTATTGACTTTACTCATCACCTAGATTCTTTTTTAATTTCTAGTATACCATAAAATCCACAGTGTAATAACTATAATTTCATAGTTATTTCTATTATATGATATAAAACTGTTCTTTATAGAAGTATATTCTAAAATATGTTAGACTTGCTTTAATTACTGACTAAGAAGTCTATAAACAAGTCTACTTTCTCTGCCTTAACTATATTTAAAACTGCAGTTAAGGCTGGAGGTTGCTATACGTATATCCACTTAACAGATGGACAATGCAGGTTATATACACATGTATAACCACCACTATTTCTGCAGTTATAATTCAATATAAAGTTCTACTTAAAGGTGTAGTTCACCAAAAAGTTTATGCATTTAGCCCGTAATAATTGTAACCTGACCATTTAAGCAGGGGAACAGTTTTATATTGTGATCAAAGAATTGTCTGACAATGATTGTTATTGTTGGTCATGTCAAAAAAACCAGTGTAATGAAAACGGTGTAGAAACCGTTTGAGAAATAATGGTAAAACATAATTAGTATCAGTCGCATCAGTGTTTAGCCGCGAACTTGCACGCGGCGAACAATGAGGTAATTAAAATAAGACATACTGACACGTAGAGGAAACTACCTGTAATACGACAGTAGGCCATTTGTCAGGACGAACCATCTTCGCTGGTAACCTTTCAAATAATTAGTCCATTTAAAGAGCCAGCCTCTCATCTCCTGTGTGCCGTGCTGAGCCTTCTGGTCCCCCATTTTACAATACGTTGCGTGATCACACGCGTTTCGCCTGAAATTACAATACACTCCAATATCTGCGCACACATCACCCGTAATGCACGGCCACCATTTTGATATTCCACTGGCCCACGAACTTGCTTGCTCTTAGATCGAAATTCTACTTATGCACACTGTTCGTCGGATTGTAATATGTAACACCAACGTTGATACCACAAACACGGTAGCCTGTGCTCGAGGACACAATATGCTGTAGGAAACTATGGATTCTTCTTTTGCACAGCGTGATAACTCGCCACGTTCCACGGTGACGGCGCCCTAACCTTTATTACCGAGTCACCTATACTGGGTGTCGTGAATTATGCGATACACAGCAATTCTCTATGAAAAAAAATTCATCGAAAACATACAATTGAACTCTTTAAAGAGGAATTTCCATTTAAGTGGAGGCAGTTTTCAAACGAATAGGTAAAAAAAATCATCAATGTTTGCTAGCTTCGCGACAACTGATGACAAATGCGCTTGTCGAAAATGGCTAAATAGATCAATTTTTGTTACCTCGTTATTTTGGAAAAAATTACAAGCCGTTCGTTTAGTATCGATTAACAAGCTCATTTACAATCTCATCGTTCCGACTGTTGGTTCGTTTCAATAAAATTGTTGCCCAATTATTTACAGTAAATTATGTATATGTTGCTTTGAAACTTTATATAGCATGATCTTGTAAATGTTATAAAGAATTGAAAATATTTTCGATTTTATTTGGAATACCGTCCAAATATTCTATACTGATATATCATCTTGTATAATATTTTCATTTCTGTACACACTCGTATACGGATATTTGATTACAGGTAATCTATGATTTTGCAGATTTCTCGATGTTTTTGTTCATCTATCTTGTTTCCACTTATTTCGCGTGACGATCAAAGGCAAATATAAAGATAAAGAGAACAATAATCGATAGTTGCGATGACATAGAATCGTTATACCAAAAATTATGGATTCGAATTCTAACGAATTTTTCTACGATGACGGTATGTATTGAATTTTCTGTTAGTTAGGCTGATCGATAGTTTAAGTTGATTAATAAATTTTGGTTTTCGCGAGAACGAAGAAAATCGTACAAGGTTGCTGTCATTTTTGACATTTTTCCCCATTGATTCGATAGAAAAGGCTAGTTATATGCACGTGTTACGACCGAAATACACAATGACAAACGCGAAACGCACGATAGATTCGATATTATTAATTAATTGCAACATGTACGCGCTAACTGTCTTGCAAGAGAATTAGAAAAATAATTACGTACTTTTTGAAACGAACACGCCAACGAAAATACGTTCGTTCTGTCATTTGGCGAGGAATGCGCACGATCTGCTCAGACGAATCGTTCCGCTCGAGAGAGATGTCATGAAGGAAAAGCACTCAGCACACTCTTCGATTAGATGCTTGATACTGACCATTATCTTCGAACCGAACCAAGCTCTTAATTTATCTGAGCAGATCGCACAACGGTACAAACGGCGTCGAGTGTCTCTTTATTCTGCTGTACAAAGGATATGTTACGAATTTTCGATGTATTAATAGTTGTGTAGTCAGCTCGCGTGCTCGTAATATACGTATTCGAAGCCCGGAAACATGATTCTTGAGATTGGCTACGTGTGTTAGCTATTTCATTAACATAACTTAATGCATATTCGTCATTTCGATAAGATTTAGAGGACATGTAACGTCTTATCGATAATATCGGGGACAACAACCACGTTACCGATCCTGTTCTTGTCCCTCAATTATAATTGTAAAAAGGCACAAATGGTCCACACGTAGAAATCGTGATACCGAAGCACATTACGTTGACGCATTAGTCTTTTATTCCAATTTTCTACATTTAATTATGGTATGCACATCTAATTTTCTTAACTAATACCAGATACTTCGAAGATCTTTTAATAAAAGGTTTAATCTAATCATTTGATTCATACTATGCGTAAGAAAACTTATCAGAAGACATCTGCCGATCAACGGCAATCAACGGGTTGTAGAAGAATGAAGAACAGATTCCTCAATTTCACACATTTATAAATGTTTCACCTGCGCGCGCGCGCAGAAAGTAGCGTGGCGCAATTGGCAACTAATGATTCATAAATCTAGATCGGTAACATTGGAATCTTTTATTCTGTAGATAAAATAGGAATATAATCTCATTCTTTTCATCGAAGTTGAAAAAAGAAGTACATAATGAATTTTACTATCTTTTACCATGTGAATTTTCTTGAGAAAATTATATTGTAAGCAGCAAAAATAGTATTATTGGCATAGCTTGAAAACCTGTTGTAACAGGATTGTTCTAGCAAGAAAATATAAATAAACCGAATATGTATAAATGTTATATAACGAAATAGAGTTTCAAATGCCTCATGAATTAAGCTATATCTTCCTGAGGAACTTGTCCTTCTTTTCCGAGCCAATGGAAGGAAGTCGTGAATTTTTCAAGCGAAATAACTATCGTAACAATCTAATAAAATTTTCTCCAGTACGTGCAAGAAGACAAATGCAACACGCATCTATTGTAACGCTAGCTGGACGAAACGCACGCGTGTAATTTGTTTCAGCTAATGCGTTTCGAACACCCAGTAGAGGAGCTTGACGCAGGTCTGCGCCTGTCAACCAGCAGTTGACCTGTGTATAGTTGACCGTGGTATTTGACCGATCGCGCGGTAATATACATCTCTTTTGCGTGTATGACTTAGTGCATCTTCGCGAATTGATCTCGATTCACGTGAACGGTGTTTAGGTACATGAGGTGATGAGAGAAGTTGCGAAGAACCCAGACTTCTGACCACCCAGGTGAGACTGCGTGGATCACCAAAATATCAGGACAATCTGGGGTAAGGGAGTAGCAACCTCTTGGGGCCAGCGGTGGTCACGTGACCCGTATGTTTACCAAAATGGTGAACGTCTATATTATACAAATGATCCCCGATTCCGTCGAAGATCCGTCGGTTCATCTGCGACAGTTCTAATACACGAGAACGGGGTTACGGCAGTCGTACCGTTAACAGTACATGTAATATGTTGTAGGCGAACGTAGTTGAACACTGTTGTTGCGCTTGAATCGCGTTCCGTTTGATCACGAACGATTCCAGCGAAAGTTTGAAAGTGGCCGCACGAAAGTGTCTTCCAGTGTCTTCCGTTTGTAATGTCTCAATAATTCGGAACCATCTACCGAATACCTTTGTGAATATTTCGGGCGTGTTCAACTACAATGCGACGACTGCCACGTTAATCCATTAACGCCTGAATTATTCGCCGTAAACTGCTTCCCGTATGCTTTGCTACTTCTATCGCATTATTTATAAGCACCACGAGAAATTCAAACGAAAGTGTCATCGAAACGAGGCACCAGGCGTCAATGGGTTAATTAGCCAATGCTTTCCAACAAATAGATTACTGTGTCTGAAGTAGTGCTGCTGGTTTCAGACTTCCTTGTTCCATGTAATTCTGTTAATAGTAAGCTCATTTTTTTTTTGTACTATTGCTCTGTGTTAGCCATGTAATTGGTGTATTCTATTCTGTTAAGGGGGTGACTGAAGTTCCGCAAGGCCTAATTTTATTCTTGACAATGTTGAATGTACAGCATTACAGGTATGGTTTATTTGTTGTCTTCTATTCTCAGCCTAAAAATATACTAACGATACTTTATTGTTTCTATAGCGATTACAGATGATCTCTGATATAGGTTAGTGCGATCAGGAAGCACTTTCGAATACGACTTTTAAATGTCTGAAGGTGTCCTAGCACAGCATTTCGTGCTTTGACCAGGCATTTTTAAACATGGCCACGTATCAAGTTGATTATCAGTGGTCAGTTTATATTCAGAAGTTTACAGGGATATGTGTACTGTGAGCATATTAAAATCTAAATATGATTTGTAGGGCTTACACCATAATGGACTCATCTAGAATATCTACCTTCCTGATATCAATTTTATTGATAGTCTATGGCAGTTTCCGATCTCTTAACATGGAACAGGAAGCTAGAGAAAGAGAAAAAGAAAAGGAACGTAGTAATTTATTGACTGGAATACTCAGCAATTGTAGCACAGCGAATGCAGATGGTGCTAATGGAAGAGTTCAAACCTTAAACACAATGCACGCTCTTTGTCTACCTCTTGGTGCTTCCATTTCTCTGCTCATCATGTTCTTCTTTTTCGATAGCATGCAGATGCTAGTAACCATCTGTACAGCTAGTAAGTTTCATTAAAGATCAATGGTAAAAAAAAACCAATAGAGAAAACAGTACTGACTTCATTTTTTGTTTACAGTTGTAGCTACAGTTGCATTGGCATTTCTTTTACTGCCTATGTGTCAATACATTATTAGACCGTGTTCAGATGGTAATAAAATTTCCTTTGGTGTCTGTGGAAGGTTTACAGGTGCAGAACTACTTTCATTTTCTTTGAGTGTGAGTATAGTATGCATCTGGGTTTTTACTGGACATTGGCTACTTATGGATGCAATGGGTATGGGACTTTGCGTTGCATTCATTGCGTTCTTTCGGTTACCTAGTCTAAAGGTATCTACTATACTGCTAACGGGCCTGCTGATTTATGATGTATTTTGGGTTTTCTTTTCATCCTACATATTCAGCACAAACGTAATGGTTAAGGTGAGTTTTAAGATAAGATTCAGGGGTTGTTCTAGTCTTGAATGCGTTCTATTATAGTTTAGGATGTGTTTTGAAACTTCTGGACTGGAATACCCCGATGATAATAGTATAAGAATCCTGTAATCGTTAGTACTGACTACTAGTACCCTTTTTCTAATAGGTAGCAACTAGATCGGCAGATAATCCAGTGAATCTTGTGGCTAGAAGGTTGCACTTAGGTGGTGTAGCAAGAGAAGCACCAAAACTTCCTCTACCTGGAAAATTAGTCTTTCCATCAATGCATCAAGCAGGACATTTTTCTATGCTAGGTCTTGGCGATGTTGTGATGCCGGGTCTCCTGCTTTGTTTCGTTTTGCGATACGATGCATACAAAAAGACGCAACTATTGCCAGGCGGTTGTGAAACGGGTGTTCCACCCCCACGTCACATAAACCGCATTAGTTACTTTCATTGTTCCCTGATTGGTTATTTTCTGGGATTACTTACTGCTACTGTAAGCTCCGAGGTGTTTAAAGCTGCGCAGCCTGCCTTATTGTACCTTGTGCCCTTTACCTTGTTGCCACTGCTCACGATGGCATACCTGAAGGTATTCTGAATTTATAGTCCTTACTTTGATTATGTGTACACGCACGGGAAAACCATATAATGCAACGTTTCAGGGTGACTTACGTCGGATGTGGAGCGAACCGTTCATATCTCAACAACCTTCTAAGCATATGGAAGTTTGACAAGAGTCATGGGTTTGTGTATATTACACATTACGGAAAGGAAACTATTTGTATCAATCCTGTTGTCATTTATCATCACGCCCTTATTTTTATCAATGTCATTTAATGTAAGTAATTCATTTTTATGCGCAGTACACATCTTTCAAGGATGCAATGAAAATTGCTGTCTAACATTTAAAGAACAATACTAGTGATTTGCAATGTATTTCAAGGGTTGGCATATTTTAATCATTCTGCTATCTTTTTCCGATCGAAAATGCAATATTAGATGCAATATTAAATTGAAAAACAAAATAGTTTTCTAAACTTGTATTTGGCATACCAACACTGGTATGAATACATATTGTTGGATTCCATTTTAAAAAGAAAATGTCATATTTTAGTTCACAATAATGAGCATTTTTTTCTCTTGCATTGAACTAATTACATATTCTACATATTAATGATTTTACTCTTAACTCCATTATAAATGTGTGTGATACTCTGTGCAGAAAGTTTCTTTTTAATTTATTATTCGATGGATATCAGGATAATTGTATGTCACATGTAGCTACGAATAGAGTAATTTCATAATTATTCGGAGATTTCCATGAAAATCTAGTGAATGTATGTGTGTAGGTTGTGACTTTCTTTTACTTGGAGCTAGTATCGAACAAAACATCGTTCAGTGCGAACTTGTATATAAATTTTTCGTTTTTATAAATTTAAGGATTAAAATTTACAGTTTGTTATTAGGATTAAACAGCAAGGCGTCTCACTTGCCAAATGTCATGCTAACACAGCATGGCGTGACCGAGATAACTGATAATACAGTCTTAGAAAGGATGAAAGTGGAAGCTGTAGTAACTTCGATCGTAAAAGAGAAGATAATGAACATTGAATTGCATAAATATTTACTGTCTTGATTTTCAAGAACTATCTCGTGATAAGGAAAAGAGGTGTTATCGCAAAATAGAGTTTTTTAACTAGGCTCTTGCTATGGATAGGCAGTTCAAAAAGACTTTGTATGTTTATTTAAAAACAAGACTGAAAATAATGTTATACGAAAAGCCAATTTATTGCAAGGTCTTTGAAAGAAACACAATCAATTCCTTTCGTTTGTAACTTTCACATGTATCGCTTTACGGTAGCGTAGATTGATATAATATAATGTATGATACATAGTATTATGCAATGTGAAATATGCAAGTAACATGCAAGTAAATACTAATTGCATACGCGAGATTTCTATAATTTGCAATAGTATATTGGAATTAGAGTCAGAGATGATTTAATTATTTTTTGGCGCCGTACTTTATCGAATCACCAGTCTAAAAGTTATAAAAACAAAAATTCTGTATTTGCCTCAGAATATATTTTATAAATAAGAACATTTGTTAGAATGTTAGCATATATTATTGTTTATGAAGAATGATATAGCGATATTGAAGACGGTTAATGATTGGGTGAACACAGTATCAATTAAAAGTAAACTTACTTGTACACTTGTATATTGACTTAGAAAATGATAATTCATTCGTAATACGGAAGAACAGATATCACGTCTGTTTTATTAACGAAAATATTTTGTAATTTGTTCGTCTTAAGTGGTTGATTTTTTATTTGATATTCAGCAGTCTATGCTCGAAAGTATTATACAAAAACTAATTATTTAGAACCATCTCAAAGGTTTATTTATACACACAGATATTTTTTTACTTACGTTAATGCAATTCAAACTATTTATAATAAACTATTCATACTTCATAACGAACAAAATACTCTTTTTGATACGGTTTAATTAGTTTTTGTATAAAACTGTAACTCTTCCCTTTATTCGCTTACCTGTCCATAGCACAAGCAGTTTGCTCTTATTCATTACGTGCCCTGTAGAAGACATTTTTATGAGTAAAAAAAAGAACAGAATACCTATTTCACTTTATAATATAAGGACACAAGTGATAAAGTATATTTTAACTACTTCCGTTACGAAGAAGTAAAAAAAGAACAAAAAAGACTTGGTCATCCTCGACGTGTGGGTGAAACGAAATGCGTTTTCATAAATATGTCGGAATGTTTAAGACTCAGTTTAATCGTTCGCTGTAAGGCCTCTTACTTTCGAACAAATCAACGTACGTTACAATACAGGGTTCATTCTACTGTGATGTACGTTTTAACTTTCATTTTCTCCTTCCATTGTACATACTATTGAGAAAACCCTATACATTAATTTTGTATTGTCAGTAACGCGCCAATCCTGTAATCAACCGTTCAATTGATTGTATAAGAAAACACGACAAATCAATTTTTGTACATTTAAATTAAGTCGAGCGTTTTCGTTGGTACGATTAGAGGTGTTGTGCAATATAAGATATTTTTTTCCAAGTGGTTTCGTTGTTACAGGAGGGTCTTGTGAAACATTATTATTCCTTTAGAAGAAACGATTGTATTATGCTCTTGCTTTAATTACAATTCTTCTTTTTGATTCGTATCATTTTTCTCTTCTTTTTTTGTACAAACAGAATTTAAAGCGTAATAACTGTAGAAAATATTGATTGTAAGATTATGACTTAGTTTATGGCGAAAATGAAAGGTGGATCAAATTATTATAAATATTTTCTCTCTCTCTCTCTCTCTCTCTCTCTCTCGCTCTCTATTTCTCTCTCTTTCTCTCTCTTTCTCTGTTCTAGATTAAGTAGTGTGAGCCACATTTTGATTAACAAGAGAGTCTTCAAGTCTGAGAAAAAAGAATAATTTATTTGACTAGGATAACAAGTTCTGGAACAAAAGCATGTACATAAAATGAAACCGATCACTCGACTGTCCTTCAGTTTTCCCACAAACTAAGTGACAAAAATATGTGTATATGTATATATGTATGTATACATATATACACATATATAAATGTATACATATATACATATATTTAGCGATACGATGATTCGTACGATAAAAAGCGAAGCAATCGGGGGAAACATTTAAAGAAAAATCGGGAATTAAGTCGTAAATAGAACATAATTAAAATGCTAAATATAAAATAGCTAATAACACTAAGAGCACTTTGCTTGTACTGTTGCAATTCTTGACTTGCATGTGTACAGCTATGTACATTTTTATATATAATAAAACACGATCATTTTCGCGTGGTCGTGTTTAAAAAAAAAGTAAAGTTATTGAATAAATATAATGTGTTCTTTTTCTGTTACGTATGTGTACTTTAAGTACAATATTTAATTTTCAGCGATTAGTTTAACCGGCCAGAAACGAACGGTGTTACAGTCTGCTGCGTGTTTCAGGAGATGTCAATATACCTAATTAGCAATCGTAGGCAACGAAAGATGGGAATTCTTTTATAACAGATACTAAAAACTCTGTAAATCAAACGCTACTCTGTCCGATCGTTACGTTATCTAAATTCCGTTTAATACTTTCCAGTTCGTTCATATCAGTCACCGAGGATTCACATTTGTACACCACCAACGAGTGATAAAAGTGTACAGCAAAAGCTATGAAGACTATGAGGACCGGGATCACTATAATAGTGCTGGCAGCTGCAGCTATAAAAGAGTAATCCCAGAATTTTACCCAGCAGAGTATAGCTACCTCGACCAAAAATAGAAATAGGCCCAGCACTGTGGAAAATGCCCACGCTAATTCAATGAAACCGCGCATTCTTTCGTGCGGTGATTCCGTTACCAATCGAGATACCTGAAGCTTACTGATGGCCTCAATATTCGGTAACAAATATGTGCTTATCATTAAAGCAAAGATGTGCACTGATACTAGGACGGTTGTGCAAACAGCGAACATTACAAACAGCCACTCCGGTACCGCGTTTGGATCGTTTATTTGCAGTTCTACCATAGCCACCTGAAAGTCAGAAAAAAGAACACCAATACAATGAATCATATTTTTGCACGTTAGGTACATGGGTAATCGATTCAACAAGTTGCATGCTTTAAACATATATGCTTTGCAGATATAATATGAATTCGTCATATTTTACAATGTATAGAATGAATTACCATATAATGCCCGCGCATGATATATTGTTAAAGAAAGTAGTATTTGTCTTACATAATCGTAGATGAGGCTGAAGATTACACAGAATTGTCGTTCGCGTCTGTTTAATGATTTTCAGGAAACGTTGTGTAATCCCCGGCGGATTTTCTGATTATACAAACATAGATTTCTTGGAAAATTTTACTCTGCGAAGAATTCGCGACTGTGACCGTTTCAAACATGTACCATCATGAATATTCGCGTGGATACTTGTCGCGACTCGATTAACCATCGGTATTTTATAGTTACATCATAGACTGACAGGAATGTACACGAACCCTGCAAAGACACGCTGTCTCCTCTCTAAAAATGATGTGAAAACTTGTTGGCATACCTTCAGGTATATAATACAAGTTTATAAAATACAATTGATTAAAAGGAAGTGAAGATAATTTCATATTTGCAATTATCCTGCGATGCACTAGCGAAAAACAGCGTGCAGAAAATATTCTCAGAGTTAGAGTGACATCGGTGTGCTACTGCGAATTAATTTGAACGTTGATCGGCAGAACAATTAATTGGTTTGCTACGGTGATGTAAATGACGGTGTCGAGCGTTTCATCAATAGAGAGGATATTATTAGGAACACATTTATTCATGGTGGAGTTTTCTCTTTGGATGCATTCAGAAGGAAGCAGATACTCACCATTGCGAATCCGCTTAACAATTCTGATGTTGTTGCAGTTGCTTTCAATTTAGCGCGACTCATGTGGAGTCTTCTCCACGAGAGGCCTTCAGGACCATCATGATCCTCTTGTTGAGGTGTTGGTTGTACCTGGGATCCTGCACACGTACAGCAACATGCATATGGCACATTGTTGGGGATGTGACTGTTCGAATGGAGATTTGAGTATGGAAGACTGCCCATTGACCTCATGTCCAAGGCCACGTAGCGATTGTTTCTACTCCTCGGCGACAGGACTAATTCGCTCTGAGAAGTGTACAAGGTACTCTTGGAGTTGTAATGAGAATAGTTAGCGTCGTTGATTTGAGTATGCTTGGGCAAATAGGCTAAAGAAGTAGGTCTACTTCTGTGGGCACCATGGGATAATTGAATAAAATCAATTTGAGTACATTTGTCCGCTTTGCCCGCTATCTCTTCGTTGCTCCTACATGTTGAGATGGTGCTGCTCCTACCATGCCTTTCATCGTGATTGGGAACGCTGTTTCGTTTGGCCAGATCTTTTTCAATGCCATTATCATTCGACATATTGCAGTGTATAACGTCTCCTACTCATTTAAACTTGTATGCTCCTTAGAATACCGAAGCTAGCTACCAGATTCTCCTCCTATATTATTGACGCTTCCTTCTGCGGTACGGGGAGTCAAAGAATCGTGGCACTATTTTCACGAATGTTCAATGTTATCATTGTTTCATTCCCAACGGATTGAGTCACTGCCATTGCACGTTCACACAATCACACAGGTGCGATTATTATACGCTTAAATCCTTGTCGCTATATTCTTACTACCTCATCATTGTAACATGGTGATTATTATTTAAAACACAACTGAAATATTACCCTTTCATTTGTAACAGGAACAACGTTATGTTGATATGAACTGCGTTGCGGAGCGTCTCTTTTCTCAGGATGCTATTTAGAAGCACTAGAACAGTTCTGGAACAAGCGAGTACTGCAAGTCTTTAATTAAAAAGTAATTCAAACAGATATCACCAATTAGTTGATCCACTTGCGTTTTGTAGCGCGTTTTCTTGCATACTGTAACACGAACCGCACTAAACCGAAATGAATCTTGCTGAGAAGCGGTACATCTTTTGGGAAATTGTCTGGTTGCTCTAAAAGCAATCTAAAGCTGCTCCATAGTGCCCGGAACCGAAGCGAGTTGCCAGCGGTCTCCACGGCAGAACACTGACCGAAGGCTGGCGTCGCATCGCCGAGGAATACACATGACGTATCCGACTGAATCATAACAATAGTATTAATTGCCTTCAAGGCATATCGGCTACATAATAACCACTGTGTAGTCCTAGCGTACGTGCATGACTGCCATCGCTCTGTGTATCCCCGCGATTCTCCTCTCTAGAATGTCTATCGCGAAACGCGACTGCGGCCAATGACGTTTGTGCTCCTGACTTTGAAACAAAAGATAAGACAGCACCGGTGAACGTAACCGGTGCAGGTACTCAAATGCTAGGCTACAACAACGTTAATGATTCGGATAGCAACATCGAGTTTTTGTCAGGGATCAGCAGTGCATTTGAAATTTTTCTAACCGCGCTCATAAATCACAATGACTGCACCATTGTACACTGATGTTTTGTAATATCCTGGTTAGCACGCGTATCCTCTTCATATTATCTTTTTCTATTTATAGAATAGTAGATAGTATTAATTTTTATTTTTACAAAAAGAAAAAAATGAAGACATCAATTGTTCCATTTATTACAAACACTTCGAACGTTTTGTGCCATCTAATGCTTATTGTTGGGGAAATCAGTTAGAATTTCCACAACAATAGAAAAATAAGGAGTTATGAAAGAACGACCGTTTATTAGTCGTAACCAGAACCGCTATTATTCACTTAGATAGCTCTAACATCTGGTAGAGTCAAAAACAAGTTTCTTCTCGGGAAGATTGCAAATTTTTAATGTACCTACTTTATTAAACATGTTTATTTTGTTTTGTTTGAATTGTGCAGAATGACTGTGCAGCCCAAGTTCCAAGTGGTAACGCTAATGCGTGTCATTAACAATTTACTGGAAAAATTTTATCTATCAGCAGTTGATTTACATGCGTAATTACGCGGACAATTTAGCGGGAATTGTAAGGATTGTTGTTCAGGGAACCGATGATTACATCTTCACATTTGTGTGTACAATTCATTCTTACGATTGTGCATAACTCATCATGCGTTTGGAGAGTTGGACGTGAGGTGTTATAGGAACTGGAAAGTTAAAGCTCGAATAAAGAATAATCTAGTGGAGGAAAAGGTATATTTTTTTCTCTTCCGACCTTACACCAGGCTACTGCCAAATTACAAAGTGCAGATTATTACTGTTTAAAAAATGTATCCCTAAATGAACAAGTTACTTTAAATAGTGTAATCTAGTTGTTTATTATAAACTAATAAAAGAGATGACTTATTATAGAGCTACGAATAATTAAATGTATTACGCCTGGAGCGATGCAACCCGCCGTGTTCAGCGGTTCAGTTGTTCATCAGATTGCAGCACCTAGGCGCAATCGATGTCCCCAGTCGCTGTTGTGCAAATAACGAATAATACTGTTGAATTCTAACGATTTTCATTAATTGACGATTCAGATGTTTTAAATTTGTAAAATGAAACATAATGTCGCTTTGAAAAGCCATAAAATGCACAAGAGGAATTGTTTTTCGAGTGAAAATTTATTCGAATTAGTTATTAAAGTTCGTGTAATTTCGTACATCGTCTATATTTCATAAAATTACTTTTAACCGTTTTCTAAACGGTGACATTAAATTTATTCATTTCTTGTCTTTAAACTTTGATTACAATCATGTTTTTGGTTTTGAATATATCGTATGCTCTAGAAATTTCAAGTTATGTCTCGATCAGCCACGGCGCATGCGTAAAGGTTTCTCGTTTTGGAACAAACTCGTCTGTCGCCCGGTAGATGCCCCACGCTACTGTGCGGGACTCCTTGAGCATGCGTCGCTTTGTGCAGTTGATTTTCTTGACTGTACATATGTACACTCCGCTACACTGGTCGTGAACTCGCGGGTGATAAGAACTTCCAGAACTTTCCCCCACTTTCCAAATCGCAAAGAAAGGAGAGAAAGAGTAGGACCCACCGAGAACAACGTAACGCGGCACTCCCTACTCCTAGCCCTTTTCTCCTTCTTTTAGGTTGAACAGCGGTTAAATAAGAGGGGACAAGTTTTGAAAATTCTTACGGCTTACGAGCCCTAGTCGCATGCGTGGGTCGTGTCATGAGTACGGTGTATAATGTACAATATGTGTATAGCGGTGATGGTATGTATAACGTGTCAGTGTAGCAAGTGTGGCTGAGTGTAGCAGCCTTCTGTAGCCAACCTGAGTTAACCGGACAAGCAGCGAAGCAGGAGGTGAATGTTCACATTTTGTGAGTACATACGACAAGTATATAAATACATACATGCATCCGTAGAAGACTAAACAAAGTTATATTGTCGTCAAACAACTCTCAGGATCTTCTACATAGAGACTGATAGAGACATTGACGTCGAACTTAGAGTGTTGGATCGGCAGACGAAAATAAACAACCGTGTGTCTTGATACAATATTTCGGTGCATATTACAGTGCATATTACAGACAGAAATATCTTCTCATTGTAAATAGCTGACGAATTAATTAACATACTAACTGGTAACCGAAAATTCTAGTTTTTTTATTTATTCAGTCAACGATTGTTGTTTTGGTGTCGTAGTTGTGTATACTGTTGAATAAATTCATAGCCCCATTGTGCACGCAAGAAATCACTCGCATTTCGATTAATCCGTGACGAATGATCTGGGTACAGGTTAGCGTCTGCAAATAACATTCAGCTAACGTCTGCTTAACGACAAGCAGTTCAAAAATTTGTATCGTGTAATATTTTCACGAAACTCGTGCCAAAAACTGGTGCGTATTGTCGAAGGCTCGCGCGCATTTATCGAATTTCTTGAGAAGCATTGTTTACTGTGACACAAATAAACAAAGGCTGTCTCCTTGAACTCTCCAAATGACAGTAAGTTATTTGTAACCTGTCTATTGATTGTTGTTTTTGAATCTGACAGTCCTGTCCATATATTATTAAATTTGTTCCTTTCTGATTCAGAACACAATGGGAGGAGCAAATCTTCATACACCTCCATCAATATTTCAACACATGATGAGCCAGCAGAGCGTGTCCCAACAACCTGGACCATGGATGCATCTGCCACAAGTGCCTCCAATGTCGATGCCATGGAGTATGTCTTCTCTGCAACAACCAAAGCTAGTTCGTTTTACTGGTGGAACTACTTTTGAACCAATACTCCATCAGAAAAGAAAACTGGAACTCTCGGACATAGTGGACACGTGAGTGACTGAACTTTGATTTACAAAATGTCTTATGCTTGAATGCGAATTGTATCGATTTAATGTAATATTGTAGAAGACAAACGAAGCAATTCATAACAGAGGAAAAAATGGCAGCACATTTCAAAGATTTACACATTAGCCCCAATTACCAGCCTCAGTCTCCTGTGCCATCCACATCTGTGGCTGAAGCACAAGTAACTCCTACCGAGGAACTGAATATGGACTTGGAAGTTGGAGTAACAAATTTAGTAGATGCAGACCTAGCAAAATCTGGGCAACCTAAATTGGTTCTTTCAGAGGAATTGAAAAGGCTACAACCAGAACCAGTTATTCCACCTTCGTTATTATCCAAACTGTATGTGTGAACGTTTACTTTTACAAACGTTCAACTATTATATCTAAAGCATGAAATTACTTGAATCGTGGTTTTGTAAAAGATGCTAAAGCTTTACAGCTTTTCCATTTCAGGGAGAGGCCCTCCATGGCTTTAGTACTTTGGGAACCACCAAATAAACACCTACGTCTCCTACCGTCAAGAGTGACATCGTCTCCGATTCCTAGCACGTCCGATAGTAATAACAACAGTAATAACAATAATAATAATAATGAATCTATTCCGAACTTGAATCAGACAGTGCAATCGAGTAATACATCAGCGTTCGAACCGATGGAATTATGACAATAATCCTAGTAACATATTCTTTACGTTTTTCCTTTTCTGGTAGAGAAGTACGGTATTACGTTCTAACATTTATCTAGATATAGAGAAAACGCGAAAAAATATGTTGTTCTTTGTACTTTTTATTCATTGCCATAAGCTCGTGTGATCAAGTCGAGGTATGAAACCTTCTCTTATTGAGCGAACATGTTCTGTATTATCCAGTAAGGATTTATTTCTTCAGTTCAAGTATATTTACTATATTTTACAGAATCAGCAGTTATTGTAATAGGAATATAAGCGTAAGAAAAGTAGAAGGAATAAGTAAGACAAATAGTTTTCTTTCTAAGTTGAATACGATACGAGAACATAGATAGTGAGAAGGTAGAGATCTATTATTTATACGTTAATGTGTTTAATATGAAACAGCATTCGGGTGTAATATTCTTACTAATTAAGTTTTTCATTTAATGTATGTTATCGAATACTTTCGTCCTACGAAGTAACGTTAGAATGCATAGAACGAGAACGTGAGTTATTTGTACGGTAAACCGCTATGTTATGTGTATGAATTAACGTTAAGTATGCAAATGTTCGATCGAGGAAGTACTTCAATTAATTCAATTCGCCGCGTGGTTCGAGTGTGTGTTGACAATTGCTTGTCATAGAGTGTTTGAGCAATGTACGATGATTTTGCATAAAAGATACAACAATACGTTTCATGAACAATGATATTCTTCATTTATTCACGACCGGTTCAAAAATTACAAGTAAACGATTAGCTCTTAATTGATAAACATGGAATGCTGTAGTCCTTTCACTATGTTCTCATTATGGCCACGTTCTTTACCTGTACCTCTAAGTCGGTGGACATAAGATTCAGGCTCTCTTTAAATACTTTTTCGTCTTCTACCGGGTCTCCGTTAATCACTGCTGCGCTTCTCTTGTTATCAAGCATGGTAATATGGTTGCCCTCTACCTCAGCTACCGTCACCCTTCCATAAGTCAACTAAAAGAAGTCAATTTGGCAGTGACAAACACCGCTTCACGGAACCGTTAACGAATTAATGAATCTATGCAGTTACCTTACGCAATCCGTAAGCCTCATCAGGCATTTGCATGGCCGGTAACGTCGGCTTCAATAACATGATGGGTGTTCTCAGCGGGGTCATAGAGTTACAGTCATATTCGTCTAAAACCTGTAAGCGTTTGTATATAAACGTGGCGATGGATTTCTGTGCCTCAGGTGTGTAAACTTTGGCAACATCAGGTGGTGTATAAACGGTAAGCTTCTCCAGCTTCTCTTCCCAGGTGGTGCACTTGTTCAACTCCATTTTGAACTGCAAGGGCGCATTTGTAGTTTGTAGATATAGAACACGATTAGGATTTAAACTTGCAATTTACCTCGGTTAAGGAGGGCGAATTGGTAACAGCCAATATGCCAATCAGGAGATTATTCTGGAAGGTTTCCTCTGTCGTGGCGAAGAGCTGTTGTAATTTTATGGCCTTCATATAATCAGGCGACCCGTCCAAAAGAATTAGGTGACCGACATAGCCACGAGATTCCAATCTCCTCACCAGTTCAATAGCTATTATCGAACCGTATGAATATCCAACTATTGTGAAGTCTCTTCGCTGTTTACTCCTTTCTAAAACATACTGAAAGAAGATACGAAGTTGAATTCGTGGGAGCCAAATAGAACTGCAAATGAATTTCAAATATGTAACAGATGTGGAAAGTTGGAGATCAGCTTCTAGGTGATACGTACCGGTAAAAGACGGTCTGCCATCTCTTCCAAAGTAAGTCCTGTATCATATATTCCCATCTGTAAGCAACAAGCCGGAGATTTCAATTCAGATGCCAATGGTGTAAAAATTGAGGCGCTTCCCTCGATACCAGGAATAAAGAATATTTCATTCTGTTTTTCTTTGTGTTTCACCAGTAGATCAACGCAGTAATTGGTGCTCAAAATAGCAACGTTCATCGTCCTCATCAGTAATTGCATGCCAACCAGCTGCTCCGTCTTTATGGTTGCTTTCGTGACCTGCTTGGTTTGCTTTTTAGAGTCTTTCGCGGACATCTCTACCAGCTTGGCTACATTCAAAACTCGAATGTCCTGGGCGGTCAAGAACACTTCGAAATCGCGTTCCAGCGTTTGCTTTATCTCCACGGCCATCATAGAATCCATACCAAGATCAGCTAGGGAAGCGCTCTGGCTAACGTTTTTCAGATCTTTGATGCCTATATTAAAGAAGCGGTTTGATTAGATTAAGAAAGCTACAGGAGTAAGGCTGTTCATATAATGCTTGGGAATAATATTTAGTAAAAAAGTAATTTGTTAATTAGTGGTTTGTTGCGTACTCATAATATACATTACTGCCTCCAGAACAGTACTGGCTTCACTGGCGCTAGGCCGTTTCTCCGCTACCAGCATGCTAGCCACAATGGGGCGGTTCTGGCAGAGAAACTTGTCCAGCTCTTCTAGACACGAGGATATCCTTTGCTGCAAGGTTCCACCGACTACGAGTTCTTTCTTGTCCTCAAGGAGTTTAGCAACCAGGCCAACTTCTCCCACGGCTCCCCATTCGATAGCCATGCCCGGCAGACCTTCTTCCACTCTTCTCTCGCAAATTCTCTCTAACACTGAATTGCCCATGCCATAATTAGTCTGACCAGAGTTTCCTCTTCCGCAGGAGATGGAGGAGAACACGACAAAGTGTCGAAGCTTTGGGCAGATCGTCCTTGTGAGCAAGTCCAACTGCTTGGTGATGCCTGCTTTGGATTTCATACTTTCCTCGAAGCTCTCCTCCGTCTGGTATATGCACAGAGAATCCTTCAAAAGTGCAGCCAGGTTGAAGACACCGTCCACTGGCGCTTGTTTCTCCGCGGACCTCAAAATGAACTCGCAGTCTTCTCGCTTCGACGCGTCCACGCCGGAAATGATGAGGACTTTCACACCGTAGGATTTCCAAATGTCCGTCCTCATCCGCTGATACCCAGTCTTGATACCATTGCGAGAAACAATCACCAGATTTTTGGCACCACGGATGACTAACCAGTCGGCCATCTCTAGTCCAAGGCCACCCAAGCCACCAACAATGACGTAACTTTTGTCTGGAGCAGCGTGAAACCGTGGGTAGCCAAGCACTGGCATGGTCAAGGGCTCCTTCTCATCCCTCACTCTAATTAGAATCTGGGAATAGTTAGATAATGAGTAAGAATATAAATTTTCCGCCTTTGCTAAAGAACGTACAAGGTGATTATAAAGCCTCAATATTCAATTCTTGTTGTCGGTATTCCAAATGTCTACCTTAGAAGACAGAATACTACTGGGACTTCATAACCATCCTGTGTTTACCCGAGTACATCGAATGACTACCTTTCCTATGTGCTTCGCAGAAGCCATGTACTTAAAAGCAGCCTCCACCTCGTGCTTCTCAAAGCATTTTCTGACCAAAGGTTTTATGCACTTGCTCTTTAATTTCAAGTCGATGAATTCGTGGATTTGTGATTGAATATCAGGATGAAGTCCGCTAATCATGGTGTCCATCATGACTCCGTGGAAACTGATTTCTTTTAAGAAGATTTCCAGTCCTAGCGTATTGTTCGCCGCCATATCGAATTTACCAATTTCCAGGAAACGGCCCCGGTATTTTAAACACCGAACGGAAGCCTGCAGCTTGTCCTCGGCCAGCGAGTTCAAAACAATGTCCACACCTTCGCCGTGAGTCTGTTTCATTATCATTTGCTCGAAACTAACATCTCTCGAGTTACCGATATGATCATCAGCGATACTGGGGAACGTTTCTCTGATGAACCTCCTCTTTTCTGGCGTTCCAACAGTGGTAAAGACCTCACAGTCCTCGGAGAGGGCCACATTGATAGCAGCTTGACCAACAGCACCACTGCCAGCGTGAATCAGTATCTTCTCACCTTTCTTTAGTTTACCGAAGAAGTAGAATGCATAAAATACAGTGAAGTATGCACTGGGAATAGTCGCTGCATCCTCTAAGGACCATTTATCTGGTATAGTCCACATGTTGTGCTTCAACGGAATGAGAAGATTCGATAGAGACCTGAAGAAACACAGTTAATTAGACTGAAAACAAAAAATATTTAATTTTTAAAAAAAATAATCTCCTGCCTGCTTTGAGCAAAGCCCATCACTCTTCGGCCGTTGGTGTCTATTCCCGTAAACTCGAATCCGATTAGGCACTCGTTCAGTTCTCTACTTTTCGTGATGGCTTCAGGCATTAGTTTACCGGTTGCCAACATCACATCTCGGAAGTTCAAAGAAGCGTAGACTACCTTCACAAGATTCTCGTTGCTGGGATCTGGTTTTATATTGCCCTCGGTCCACTGAAGGGAACTCAGATCACCTCTGACCTGTTAAACGAACGTCGTTAATTGTTCCAGAGTTTAGAGGCCTCAAGGAAAATCTTATTCGCATACCTTTATATTTACAAAACCATGGGGCAACGGAACAGGCTTCGGAGGTGGTAGTGGCAAATGTCTGTAAGTGCCCCAAACTTTTCCCGGGCGTAAAATATTAATGCCAATGTCAATATTAATCTGCTCGGAATAGAATGGGTCATCCAACGAGAATTTGGGTGCGTTCAAATCCTGTATGATCACGGTCTTCACAATTTCGCCACAGGGTTCTCTTCTCAGACACTTGACCATACCCAAAGCCCCATTCTCTAGATCCCCTTCAGCGACTACGACCAATCTTGTGTCTCTTTCGTTTGTTTTCTTCCCCTCCTGGGCCTGCAGCACTTCTTTTACCTTGTTCAGCCAGCTGAATTCATTGTTGTTCACATAAACGACTTCTGTGTTTCTAGGAGGTTTCTCCTGCCTCTTTAGGAGCAATAATTTCTGGCCCTTATAGCTCTTTTCCAACACAACATTCAGCTCGTATTCTCGAAGGTACAAATATGTGTCATTGTTGACTGTGGTCTCCCTAGTCAAAATATACCCGTCGTCAACGATGGACATCATGAGCTGGTCGAGATAGTGTTGCCTCTTTTCTGTTAGAATGTCGTAAGTGACAGCCATGAGAACGGATCCGTCTTCTGGCAGTTTGTTCGGTTCTACTACAGTAATCTTGTCGAGATCTGACAGATTTTCGTATCTGCCAGAGGTCGCGGCTAACATCATCTTTGGTCGAATCATGGGTAGATCGCCTAATACTTTCAGGATAGTAGGCGTGAGCACTTCCTCGGTGGACAAATTGTCGTCGCGATCAATTAATTCCACGATCTTCGGAGTCGTCAGCAGGCTGCTTTCCAATGCCACTTGGGAAGATAATATAACCATCTCCTCGGGGTTGGTCTCCGCCTTGTCCCGGTTAGCTACGAATTTATACTCTTCAAGAACAGGATCCGCCATTATCTTGCGCCGCTGTATAGCGTTTGCTTTGAGACCACGGATTTCCACACCTCCGGAGATTATAGCGTCGTACTCAGTGTACATGTAAACCGGTATATCTGCAATTTGATTCTTGTTAAAGATCAAGAAACTACCTAAATGTATTTTTCAGACAACGTACCGATGCTCTCTTCGCCAAAATTCCGAACCTTGTCGGTATGATACTTGGCGTCCACCACCATCTTTCTTATAGCCGTGGGCACATACAGAGCTCTGGTGTCTAGACCCAACAGTTTGATCTGCATCATGTTATCCAGATAAGCGGCCCAGTTCTTGCTCCATTTTATGCGACCCTTTGTTCCTTTGATGGAGGAGCTTTCCAATCCTCTGAATATCCCTGTGTAGTCGTAGCCGCGTAGTTTCAGTTCCGTGTAGATATCGTTGTTGTTCAAGACTTCCTCGTCGTCGATTTCCGGCAGAAGCTCAGCAGCGATCATCTCTTGTGCGGGATTGTTCGTCGTTCGAATTGTTCCGGACACCACGGTCGTGGTCCCCTCAGATATCTCGAACTTGCCAGACCCTGGAAGTGCATCTTAAGTCTCAGAAAACGGAGGTTTCTGACTATTGTAGCATTAAAGATAGTTAGTCCCGTTTAGATTTTTACCTCTTTGAACCATGACTGTTAGCTGGACGGTGCCGTCTTTAGGCAAAGTGGTCGCGCGTTCGAACTTGACGTCTTCAAAGACGACGGACACCTCGTCCAACAGCTTGCCCTGTAGCTGGCTAACCGTTTCCCAGGCCATAATAAGGTATCCTGTGGCTGGGATCAGATTTCTTCCATCGATTACATGATGAACGATATACTCGTAATTCTCATCCTTCTGGAAGATATCCAGGATTCTCTCCGACGTGGTGATCTTCTGACGCTGCGAGTAAACCGGTACGAACCAATCCGTCGAGTGCTCCCATCTGAAATTGTTCAAGTATTTCCCAAATGAATAAACGATAGTGTCTAGTCGTCAGATTAAAATGGTACCAATGTAAACCTGATAAGAGGCGAGATCATTGGTGTGCTACGGCTAACAGGAAACTCGACAGGCGGATAGATGTTGGCCAGCTGCAACTGGATGCCTGCATTGTACAGCTTTCCGAGAGCCTGCAGGAAGTATTCGGCATTGTCCCTGTGGCCTCGCAACGTTAGAGGAACGTTTATCACATTTGGATCCAGCGATCTCTTCAAAATTGCCTGGAGGAGACCATGAGGAGCGATCTCGATGGTTATGGCGTTTTCAGGAATCATCGTGGCAGTTTCCGCGAACAAGACAGAGTTTAAGAGGTTGTTCGTGTGATATTCTGCCGAGGAGAGTTGTGCTGCTGGGGCAGACCACTGGCTCTGAGCCACAGAAGTACTCAACCACTTGGGGCTGCGCGGTTTTGGATTAGGGATCACTTTCTTCAGATACGCCAGGAGCTTTGGTCCAGCCTCCGCAATGTAGCGGCTGTGATAGGCAATATTGCTACACGGTACCTCCTTCGCGAAGATCTTACTGGCCTAAAAAATCGTGATTTGTTAGCTAATTGAGGAGAATATCTCTTAATCAATTTGATGTTCTTAGAAAGGACCTGTAGCTCAGTCACAAACTTCTTCATAGACTCTGCCGGGCCACTGATAGTAGAACTGTCCGGGCCGTTGTGACAAGCCACTTCTATATCTGGTGGACAGAGGTCCTTAATATTATCGTAGCCCATGCCGACCGCTGCCATAGATCCCCGGATCATTTTGGTCTCGATAGACGCCAGACCTCTGGAATAAGCCGCGAGGACCATTTGTTCAGCGCTGAAGCAACCATCGGCGTAAGCGCAGCCCAGTTCACCGACAGAATGGCCAATTATGTTGTCCGGCACGACGCCAATGGACGCCAGAAGATCCACCAGACCGATCTACAATTATCATTCACTTATCATTCACAGGATTCTTAACCGATCTTTGCAAAATATAAACCACGAGTTGTAACCTGTATCGCGGCGATTCCCACAAAAGAGTTCACAATATTGTCAAAAGTTTTCTTGTCCTTGTTCGTGATAATGTCGACGATGTCCATGCCAAAGGGTTTTAGAGCCGCGTCGCATTTCTGGATAGCCTTGACGAAGGTAGGGAATCTCATCAGGGATTCGCCTAGTTTTAGTAATAAAAAAATTAGAAGAAATCCGAGTTACAAGAATCCAAAAATGTCAATGCCAATAAGTACCCATGCCAGCCCACTGGGATCCCATTCCAGAGAAAACGAACCACACAGGTTTTTTCATGCCAGAGTACTCCTGAATCTCTTTAGTCGGTGTCTCGGATATCTTCGACCCGACAATAGTGTATCCTCTGAACAAATTACCGGCTATATTCTCTGCATGAATCTCGTGCAACAATCGAATGAATTCCACGTCGACCGGCATACTCTCCACCTATAGAATTATTTGCCTCTTATCAAATGTCTCCCTTGAGTATCATCACTAAAATGTCTACTCATTTAACTAACATAATTTAGAAGTGTTTCCACAGCTTCTTCGTGACGGCCTGACAATGCAACAAGCCTGGGCAGATCGTCGGAAGGTGCGCCGTTATTCACCTTCTCCTTGTTATGAGACTTCAATAGAATGTGGGCATTCGCACCACCGAAACCGAACGAGTTAATACCCACGAAACCACCCTCCCACGGGGTTGGTTCCGTTACGACCTTGAGCATTCCCTCTTCGAAGCTCTTAATACCCTTGACGGGGCTCTGGAAGTGCATGTTGGGCGGAATCAAGCCGGACTCCATAGCGATTATAATCTAAAAAATTATTCGGCATTAGATCCGGTACTCGGCGATTTTAATTACAAGTCTTGTTGGAGATTTACTTTGGCTACAGAGCAAATACCACTGGCAGGCTCAGTGTGCCCCAGGTTAGACTTGACGGAACCAATCCTGAGCGGAGTGGTTCTATTCTTGACGAAAACTTGCTCGATGGCGTTCAGCTCCTCAGGGTCGCCGATACTAGTCCCAGTCCCGTGCGCCTCCAGATAGGACAAGATAGTCGGGGAGAGCTTACATTCCTTGTAGAAGTCCTCCAACAGCATCTTCTGTATATCCCTAGCCGGGAACGTAATCCCCTGCTCCTTGTATCCGTCGCAGTTCGATTTCGTGTAGACCACCGACGCATAAATTCGCCTGGCATTCTTCGCCTTCTGAAGAAAGATCACGCTAACTGCCTCGCTACGCACGTAGCCGTTCGCTTTGGCATCAAACGACTTGCAACGACAGTCCGTCGCCAAGACACCTGTACATTGTGCGTAATTTCATCAGTTCAGCTATCCGATATGGTAGTATAAGTAGTGCCAAGGGATTATGAATAATACTAGTATAGAGTACCGAGACGCGAGAACTGCAGGGATACGTAGGGATGCAGACAAAGATTCGAGCCGCCTACGATCACCTGATCGCAGACTCCAGTCCGTATCAGTCTATAAGCCTGATCCAATGCGACCAAACTAGAACTACAAGCCGTGTCGATCGCGTAGGATGGCCCGTGTAATCCGAAGAAGTAGGAGATCCTGTTCGCCAGCATGGCTCTGCTGCATCCGGTGATACCAAAACCATTCGCCTAAAAGATATAGAGCCATTGCTTCAATAACTCAGATTGCAGACTTCGATCTTCTAACCGTCCCTGTTCATTTCTATAACGGATCACGCAAAGTTTACCTGCAGTTTCTCATAAAACCAAGTCTTCTCCGACTCGCTGATGCAGGATCCGATGATGACGGCCGTGTTGGTCCCACGCAGCTGTCTGGGATTCATCCCCGCGTCAAGGATGGCCTCGAACGAATGCTCCAACAGCATCCTGCACATGGGGTCCAGGGTGTGCGCCTGTTTGTAGTGGACACCGAAGAATATGGCATCGAACTTGAACAGATCGGACACCTTGCCACCGTCCCGGGGTATCTCGGCGTGATCTGCTCCAAAGAAACATGATTATTTGATCTGCTCCACGCTTCCAACGAAATTTTGCATGATTTCAAAGCGTCACCTAGTCGCCACCGTGTATAGTTATCGGTGACCATGTCGACCTTGTTCATCAGGTTCTCCTTCAGCTGCTGCACGTTGTTGCTCTCCGGGAAACGACCAGAGATACCGGTGATGACCACCTCTTCGCCAGGTTCCGGTGCAACGTAGCACGATGACTCCACGTCGCGTGTGTTGGACATCTTTGTTTTCTTCTCTTGATCGGTCCTTAGTCTTGGTAAACTATAGGAAACTCTTTATCCAGATGATTCACGATCACAGGATTTGGCGAGCCACCATTCGGCGAGATTCGTAGTAGAAGATCGGCTCTTTTATTTGATAACAGATTCGTATCTACACCACGGAAACCACCATCAAAGCGCTTCCGGTTCAATGCCTGAGAGATAGTCAGACTGCTACCTTATCAACACTGGGACCACCCACACGATTGAAGATCGAACCGAATGGTTACGAGCTTCTTATAACCATCATCATCCCCACTATTCAAGGTCTAGCAGCTATTCTTTGAATATTCCTGAGGATGATCTGCATAATGACCTTTTAAAATTTCGTCGGCGACCCGATGGCGAACAGACATGCCCCCTTGTAGCTCTGTACAAAAAATTTCTATAAAACATTGAAACTGATCGACTGGAAATACTAATTATTTATCCAGCATTCTTCTCATTCGAAATGATTAAAATAACAGCATAATAATGTAAGCGCAATTAGGATCCTTCGACGCCCTGTAGATAAACTGGACGTTGAAAATTTATTTGGTATATTAATAATGCAGAATGCATCGTGATTAAGTAACAGTCAGGTAAATAGAAATATTTTTCATTCTGTTTCATGTCGAGTCATTCAATGAATTCTGCTGGCTTATGGAAACTTCCACTCTCGAAATTCAAACGTGGACGGAAGAAGCACTGGTTCATCATGTGAGCACTGAACTTGAAAATAGAATAATTTAGTTCTTGGTCTTGATTTACAATGAGTGTTTACCAATCGTGTACGTTGTTACAATGAATATTTTTAGATGCATAGGATACATGTAAGTCAAAGGTTGCCGGAAGTCGAATTATTTTGCTTACATAAACACTCAGTAACACATCCGATAACATCTTGGGTACAAAAAAACTATTTCAGTGCTGCTCCTTATGAGGAGGAATTTGAAGAAACATCTTTTATTCTGTGCATAAACATTTCTTCTTTTAGTCTGTAGTTGCTTAAGTAGAGAAGTACATAATAAACAAGAGAGAGAACGAGTAGATTACTTTGATAGAATCTTTATTCAGTGGATAAATAAGTTCCACGTCGAACTACAAAATTACAAAATTTTGTTGACACAGTCAAAAATATATTATTGTCATATTGTAATTGTATATCTTTAATATACATAACTAATATAATCTTAAGTCTAAGACTGAGCCACCGGTGCCAAGTATCGATTGTCGGATCTACCCCGTCGAAATAGGAAATATTCGGATAAAGCATATCCGGTAAAGCAAAAAGCTCGTAGTAAGTTAAGAAAAATGATCACTTCTATGGCGCGTATCGGTATAATAAATTTGGTAGGCTAATACTACGTGGTTCCGTACAAATTCTCCGTCGTCACAGTAAATGTACGAGATCTGACTCCGCGACTGGGTTCTCATGATCCGCGAAATGAAAAATAAAATCGAGCATAATTGAACGCAAACTTAGTACACAAGAAGCTCACCCAAATTCTTCAATATTCACATGTCGATTATGCGTTGATAACAACATTAGCAAATATGTATAAATTAAATTAAATTAAATTAAATTAAATGTATAAATTTCGCTTCTTGACTGTTTCTGTGACTCACTGACTTGTACGATCATCAAACAAATGCAGTCTTTCTCTCGATTCTTTTTGGAATTCCTAGAAACGTACGAAAACATATATGAACTCTTACGTCTGCCGGATAAATACTATCTCAATATTTGTGAACGCCGGCGAAATGTACTTTTTTCCCCTGGCCGTCCAGTGCTTCCATTAAGCTCGACGTGAAACTAAACTCTGAACTGCTTTCATCATCTTGATCCCTGTATGAGAAAATTCACATGTAACAGTGAAAGAAAACAGTTCTCTATTTATAAAAGTATACAATTACATACAAGGTATCCAGACTAGTGAGGCTGCCATTCGATTCCGGTAGATTCAAATGACCGTTCACCTTCAGTAGTTCCAAGAAAGAGTTCACCGTAGCCAAGTAAATTCCTTTGGATCCTGCCACCCCTAAATAACGAAGACTGCTCAATTCGATTAAGGTTCGCTCTGGATTTTTCGTTGGCGTGGTATACGAGTCGTGAGTCAGTTTCATGATTTCCACGGAGGAGAAGTGAATAATGAATAGGTAGGGTTTGCGAAAGGCTGCGCAAAAAGTGAAGAATTAGTATGTTGCATTATCAAGTACATTAAGCTAAATTGTCAATGAAGTTTACCGAAAGCAAACGGCAAATGGTTCCACGAAGGATCAACGGCTCGAGTTCTCTGGCCGCTTTCATTTACGAACATACCAAACTCGTTATAGCAGAGTAATAGCTCTACCTTTCCAGGTACAAGCGATACGTTTAGAACGCATACTGGAAAAATGCCTAGCTTGGCTACTCCAGTCAACGCAGCTTTTACTGAACTATCGTCTTCCTCAGGGAATTCTGCAACGATTGTGAACATTAAACAAAATAAAGTAAGCTTATAATTAGAAATAGTAATCGTATTTTATACCATCGACAGTGTAATTTTTAAGATCGATCTGGAAAAATTTATTGCACCCCACTATGAGGACGTTTCGAGTAAATATAGCACAACTGCATGGCTCGTGAGTCTCCAGCTCACGAACGCCAACAAATTCCCCGCTGTCCTCTTCATTGTACCATTTGAGTAATCTACAGGGGTTTTCGCGGAAAAGCATTAATTAAATTAACGTGGGAAACTATTACACATTAATTGATTAATTGCAACTTACATTACATGAGATGCAGTTGCAGCGCAGAGCATATCTTCGTGCAACTGATACAGGTGGCAGCTATCAGTGCCAGTTAGAACTGGTTTGGTAGTGATCGCTGGTCTAGAGCACTCAGCAGCCACCGCGTTGCTTTTTAGTTGCCTTAAACTACAAGATACTAATTGTCTATTTTCACCAGCTATCATTAAAGCTATGTCTAAGTGGGGGTGCAGAGTCAATTGGTGCACTCTCTTGACCCCTCTGATTGCCGTGAGTGTCCGCGACTTTGCACCACAATAAGAAAACAGACCCTCTTCAGCGCCCAATAATAAAATATTTTCTTCGGTTAAAGCAACAGCGCAATTTAAGTCCAACTAGAAAAAATTAATCGTTAGCTAATCTGAAATACATAGCTGTTAATTACAATTTAACAGACCGCTTACTTGATTCTTTTCTAGTCTTAGTATAGTTGAATATCTTTCGCCTTTACGACAATTTGAATATCTTTGACTAGTAACAGATTTAAGTGCTTTCAGCCAATTTTTCTTATCGGTTTGGCTCAGAGCCATTACATCCAAACGCGACGTGGGCCAACAGGTGGTCGACGAATTCGATTCTATCCTAAATATAAACGACAGGTCTGACTTCGCCGTTCCCATCACGTCTGGTTGCTGTACATTGTCCGACACGGTGAATCCCTCATTCTCGATTAATTCCAAACGATTCACAGGAGCCATTCCAACAGTAGGTTGGTGCTCGTAGGTACATAAACGAGTGTCTTCTAATCTGAGGTATTTCCTTTCCCAGCAGGTTTTCGAACGCTCTGGAATCTTTACCCATCCTTCCATGGTGACGTGACTGTCTTTCTTAGCTGGAACGACGCACTCGTCCTTAAAAGTGACATGAAATGTTATAGCAGCATGTCCTTATATGATATTTTATAGTATTTAAGTTATACAAAATATCATACTGTATCAGGTTTATCCGGTTGATCGATGGCCAAAGTTTGAACACTTCCAGAAATGGAGGACAAACTTTCTTCACTGTTCCTCCAACTCTTACCAAACTGCTTGGCGAAGCCTCCGGGTAAACCACAGGTGGCAGGAACGGTGACAGCGCATTTCAAGTGTGTCATCACTTGACACTCATTGCAAATGGCAGCTCGTTTGCCAAACTGAATCGAGTCTAGACACGCAGAGCATTTCCCTGCTCGCATCGGCAAACCAACATCAAATCTATGGGGAATATTGTGACCCATTCTTTGAGGTGACACACGCCTGGACAACGAGTTGTTCGGCTGATCTATTGCGCATGGACTCTTCGTTTGAGGTGCTGTGGGGGATGTCGGAGCAGATACAGAAGCGTGCATGGCTTTCAATGCTAACAGTTGATCGGTCAGCGTTTTAACCTTTGCTCGCTCTTTGGCTAACTGGTTCTCTAACTCTCGGTAGCCAACGGGCATTCCAGTTCCACTTGGAGGTACATTTTCCTTCTGTTTAGTACCAAGAATCTTGTCGCACACTGTCTTCTTCTTTTTTCTACATTCCTCGAGCTTGAACTGTAAATAATCTATCAATTTCGTCTGCTGTTGCCTAGTACTTTCCGCTTTGACTTCCCTTTCCTGATAAAATTGTCTCATCTCTTCCAAAATGCTTTCCAACTCCGAGATCCTCATCCTCAGTTCTTGACCCTGATCCACGCTGTTTTGCAGATCGTTCATTAGCGCGAAATTCGCTTCTTTCAGCTCATGAAACCGCGTCAAGTGCTGGCTACTTTCTTCTTTGACTACCCTTGACTCTGCCTTTGCTACCTCTAATGTACGTTTCATTTCTGACAGATCGCACTCCAAATCGTCGCATTTAGTCGTAAATTGTTCAACTTGGCTGTTTAATTCTTGCACGAGTTTCTTATATTGATCTCTTTGAACAATCAAGCTGTTTCTCTCGCTCTCTATATCATTGGTTTCGGACTCCAACCTCTCAAAATTGCGCTCCACGGATAACCTTAAGGATCTCTCTTCGTTCTGAGCGGCAAATGCCTCCCGGAGCTTAGCCTCTGTTGTCTCTAAGTCTTTCTGTAATTTCATCTTGTCTTGGATCAGTATGTTCTCCCGTGTTTCGTGATCGCTTGTCAATCTCTCATAATCCATTAACTGCTCCTCCAGTACAGTGCATGTTTCCTTGAGAAGCTGTGTGTTCAACTCGTAGCCTTTGATCTCTTGCTCCAACTTGTGTATTTTCGACTCCAATTCACTCTTTTCTTCAACGTGCTTGGCAATCTTCTGCGAGAGATGTGTGTTCTCTGAATTCAGACTGTCCACTCTATCTTGACTAACACGGCATTGCTTGCGAGCCGCATCTAATTCTCGACGCAACGAAGCGCTCGACATTTGAAGCTCTTCTATTTGTTGGTTAGCCTGAGTTAAGGCCTATATCGAAACAGAAGAATATAAACAATATAAATAAAAATAAAGGAATAAAGTCACGCGCGATATTAATTTAACATTTGTAAATACGGAATCTTGAACAATATTTACTCTTTGAGCGGATTCGGCCTGCATTTTATTTCGAGAAGATTCTTTTGTTATATCGTTCAGCGATACTTTCGCGCTATCCAATTCTCTGAGAAGCTTCCTGGATCTTTCCTCGTCCTCCTGGATCTTGTGATCCAACTTCTCTGATAACTTTTGCTTTTCCTCCTGCAGTAACTTTATTTTCTCGTCCGCCCTTTTACTCTCCCTCACAGCTATTCTTTTATCCAAATTAGCATCCGATAATTCTTTCTCTTTCTTCCATAAACTGATCTGTGCTTGTTTCGTCGTCTGTCGTTCAGCATTTAAGGCACCCTTCAATGTATGGATTTCTTGTTCTAATTTTTGTATTTGCTCTTCTATATGAGTATCGACTTTTATTATGTCCGTTTTGCTAACAACGCCGGCACAGGTTTGCTCTGTTTTCGTTTTTAGTCTGGCATTCTCTGCTTCCAACTTGGTTACACTCTGTTCCAAACGTTTCAATAATTCTTCTAAATTTTCAACTTTTCGCAAGTGTTCCTCTGAAAGCAAATGGAAATGTTTATTACAGTTTGCTTGCAACAATTATTGTACTTCACTTCAGTGATTGTACCTTCTTTCTCCAACGAATTCTGCAACCGTTTTTGTAATGCAACCTTGTCTTGTGTAGCTTGTTCCAGATTCATTGCGAGAGCTTCACTTTGCTCTAAATTCATCATAGTCTCGCATAGGTCGGACTTCATTACCTTTAAAACAACATTCAAAGTAATAAAAATGTGTTACACCTATATCATTGTTTATAATTAAGATTAACGTTAATTATGCACCTGTAATTGCTGTTTCAACTGTTCGTTCTCAAGTTTTGATCTCTCCATTTGTTCTTTTATGGTGGTTACCGTTTGTTCCGACGTCATAGCGTTGTCCAATTGTTTCGCTCTCTCTTGCAATTGTTTCTTTAGTGTTTCTATTTCAGCATCTCGGACAGGTATCGTGGCTTGAATGCTACGCAACTGTTCCTGACAGTCTTTGAGCTCATTTTGCGCCAGCTCCAAAGCAACGTTTAATCTCGATTGACGACAATGATTGGAATCCTGTTCGTTTCTCAGTTTTGTTTCTAAATCTGTATTCTTCGCTATTTCTAAGTCTAACTTTGCTCTCAATTCAGCCAACTGACTATGTGCTCGGTTAGCTATCTCCTCGAGTTTGGTTTCAACTCCTTGTACACTTTGTCTGCTAAGTTCCCTAGTTTTAGCTAAAGATTCTTTATATTGCATCTGAAAAAAAGAAACGAAATTAGTGAATCATTAACATTACAAAAATTGATGGTTTATCACTAGACTAGATTTGTATGAGTTATCAAAATACCTGAAATACCCTAAGCTTATGCAATTCTGCATTTGTAGTTTCCAGCTCACATTCGGTCCTTTGTAATCTCGAACTCATTTCATTGTTGCTTGTACATAATTCGGTAATCCTCACAGTTTGAGCCTCTATGTGATTGTTGAGCTGTGCAACTTTATCTTTCTCCGCATTTTCCCATTTACGTTTTGCATCTTTTATCAAAGCAAGAGCTCTTGTCTCTAAATCTCTCCTCTCCTGCCGTTCTAATTCTACCATCACAGTATACATTTATTATCTTGTTATATTTACATAATATGGAACGATGTTACAAACTATAATTACTAAAATATTTATAAGCATTAGACTATCATGGGCTAATTAAAAAGAATTCCATGATCTACATGAATTGACCTATGACATATTCCTCAAATTGCATAACAAACGGCTGTTCTACAAAATTGTTTACTTTATAAAAATATTAAAGATTATAATAATCAATTTACCTAATGTTCTTTTTATTCCAGACACTTCTGATTTCGTTGTAACCAATTCCCTCTCTAATATATCTCTTTCTTTACTAAAAGCTTCTAATCTTTTTGTTTTCTCTTCTAGTTTAGCTTCCAACTGAGCCAACTGACTCACTTTTCCCTGAAGTTTGAATATCATTTTCTGTTTTTCTTGGAGGTCTCTCTTCTTGTCATCTAATTGTGCTTCTAATTCAGCCTTTTCTTTCGACAATTTCTCAAACTGAGCCGTATGACGTTTATGAAATTTAAATTCAAACATGGAGGAAAATTCTTTCGGCGGATCCTTGGATGGACCTTCTGTTTTCGAAGCATGATCTGTTTTCTCAGTACCTGCAAATACGATAAAATGTATAATGCTCAACGAATCATTGTCGGATGGTATTCATATACATTGAGATACTATTCAGAGCTGTAAAGTGTAATTGCCTCTTGCATAATATGATTTGTTTACCTTGATCAATAGCAAATTTTTGCTATTAGGTAAAGTATGTTTGCTTAACAATCAATAATAATACTTTCCAACAAACAAAATACTTTCCATAGGACATTTCTTTCCAGCTCTGTACAGTACTTACAAGCTTTATATAGTAATTGCATCCTCTTAATCTTTACCAAGGCTTCTCCTTAGCTCAGCTAGATCACATCCTGCAGTTTTCAGGTCCTTTTCCATATTCCTCGATTTTCATTTATATGCTTCTTTGAAGGCAAAAGAAACACTGCTGTTAGGACGAGTTTGTTCGATAAAAAAAATTCTATTACCTAACAGATGTATCGAAACTTAAACCCAATTCTCAAAACGATCAAACGGTTGCGAATGAAACTCCATCTTTCCAATTCAAATAATCTATTCGACGCCGAAAAAGTACACACGGCTTGTACAGATTGCGCCACTTCTGCAAATTTTCGGCGGTCGATTTAAATTGTAAAATTTGTAGTCCCCTATCGGCAGCGAATTCTTCTTTTTGAAATAATAACAATACGACAAATTCTGCTGAACAATTTTGTACCGTTCATATTATATTTCTGTAGTACATGTTTCATAAATACAATTTGCACCATTTAAATGTTCGCACCGTATTCGCTCATTGCCTCCAAATAATATTCAGCACTCGTAGTAGAAATGAAATATATAGGATATTCGCTTCTTGCTAACGTGTCTAAATTCGTGAACTATCGGTAACAATGAGCGTGACACAGGAATAGTAACGGGGCTCTACAGCTCTAGGAATTTGGGCCATAAAAATACATTGTATGAGTGGTCTATCTCGTCTGTAGCGTTCACTGTGTTAAAATATTGAACACTTACAATTGATATTATTACCTGTAGATAATTTTAGCGGACAGTTCGGGTTTTTAGCACTACGTGGTTTGGCGCTGTACGTACCCTTGAACCAGAGGTCTCTACCTTGAACGAAGCGAACGATTGTTACCAGAATTTACAAAGGCATGAAGCGCTTACACGTAGGTATTTAATTATGAAGAGATTATTTAAAATTAACTTAGAAAGAAATATATCATTCGCAACACGTAACAACTACGCGATTGATTGTTAGTTTATAAAGCNAGCTCTTGTCTCTAAATCTCTCCTCTCCTGCCGTTCTAATTCTACCATCACAGTATACATTTATTATCTTGTTATATTTACATAATATGGAACGATGTTACAAACTATAATTACTAAAATATTTATAAGCATTAGACTATCATGGGCTAATTAAAAAGAATTCCATGATCTACATGAATTGACCTATGACATATTCCTCAAATTGCATAACAAACGGCTGTTCTACAAAATTGTTTACTTTATAAAAATATTAAAGATTATAATAATCAATTTACCTAATGTTCTTTTTATTCCAGACACTTCTGATTTCGTTGTAACCAATTCCCTCTCTAATATATCTCTTTCTTTACTAAAAGCTTCTAATCTTTTTGTTTTCTCTTCTAGTTTAGCTTCCAACTGAGCCAACTGACTCACTTTTCCCTGAAGTTTGAATATCATTTTCTGTTTTTCTTGGAGGTCTCTCTTCTTGTCATCTAATTGTGCTTCTAATTCAGCCTTTTCTTTCGACAATTTCTCAAACTGAGCCGTATGACGTTTATGAAATTTAAATTCAAACATGGAGGAAAATTCTTTCGGCGGATCCTTGGATGGACCTTCTGTTTTCGAAGCATGATCTGTTTTCTCAGTACCTGCAAATACGATAAAATGTATAATGCTCAACGAATCATTGTCGGATGGTATTCATATACATTGAGATACTATTCAGAGCTGTAAAGTGTAATTGCCTCTTGCATAATATGATTTGTTTACCTTGATCAATAGCAAATTTTTGCTATTAGGTAAAGTATGTTTGCTTAACAATCAATAATAATACTTTCCAACAAACAAAATACTTTCCATAGGACATTTCTTTCCAGCTCTGTACAGTACTTACAAGCTTTATATAGTAATTGCATCCTCTTAATCTTTACCAAGGCTTCTCCTTAGCTCAGCTAGATCACATCCTGCAGTTTTCAGGTCCTTTTCCATATTCCTCGATTTTCATTTATATGCTTCTTTGAAGGCAAAAGAAACACTGCTGTTAGGACGAGTTTGTTCGATAAAAAAAATTCTATTACCTAACAGATGTATCGAAACTTAAACCCAATTCTCAAAACGATCAAACGGTTGCGAATGAAACTCCATCTTTCCAATTCAAATAATCTATTCGACGCCGAAAAAGTACACACGGCTTGTACAGATTGCGCCACTTCTGCAAATTTTCGGCGGTCGATTTAAATTGTAAAATTTGTAGTCCCCTATCGGCAGCGAATTCTTCTTTTTGAAATAATAACAATACGACAAATTCTGCTGAACAATTTTGTACCGTTCATATTATATTTCTGTAGTACATGTTTCATAAATACAATTTGCACCATTTAAATGTTCGCACCGTATTCGCTCATTGCCTCCAAATAATATTCAGCACTCGTAGTAGAAATGAAATATATAGGATATTCGCTTCTTGCTAACGTGTCTAAATTCGTGAACTATCGGTAACAATGAGCGTGACACAGGAATAGTAACGGGGCTCTACAGCTCTAGGAATTTGGGCCATAAAAATACATTGTATGAGTGGTCTATCTCGTCTGTAGCGTTCACTGTGTTAAAATATTGAACACTTACAATTGATATTATTACCTGTAGATAATTTTAGCGGACAGTTCGGGTTTTTAGCACTACGTGGTTTGGCGCTGTACGTACCCTTGAACCAGAGGTCTCTACCTTGAACGAAGCGAACGATTGTTACCAGAATTTACAAAGGCATGAAGCGCTTACACGTAGGTATTTAATTATGAAGAGATTATTTAAAATTAACTTAGAAAGAAATATATCATTCGCAACACGTAACAACTACGCGATTGATTGTTAGTTTATAAAGCGTCACTTTAATAACAGCAAATTTAGTCTTAAGGGATCAATGAATCGCTCCTTTGTTGAGAAACAAGTTAATGACTCCGTGAATGACCCAATAATGGATTCACTTACTCTGTTGCTTGTTATACAGGCATAGCAAGTCCATGAAGTCATTCTATTCGTAGAAACTTAGGGACTCGGTAATTATTTGGAACGATAGAATTTACTCAATTTACAGATTAAATTTTCGCAATCTAATCTGAGAATTTCTGTTATCTATTTGCGATAATGATCCGACTTATCTCTTCAGCGTAACCCGAATTGTTTTACTCTGAAACATCACGCGCAGTAACTCGACGTGGTTTCGAACGCATCGAATTGGCGGGAATTCGAAAGCTTTTCGTTTTAATAAAAAATAAATTTAAATTTTAGGCTTCCCTCGGGGACTACGCGATCGATCCGGTCACAATCGATGTTAAATGTATCGCGGAACCGCTCGTCGAGAGACGCGGCCAACCTCAGAGCTGTTGTGAACAATGGCGACGTTTCGACGAAAGTGACATTTTAACGAACAAATGTGTGTCCACGCGTTAATGTTAATCCTCTTTTGTAGATGTTAATCACGCCCATTAGGTGTTCCCTTGGACGCGTCTCTGCTCGACAATGGCTTTGAACGCGAACGCACTGTCCAGTGACATAAGCCGACGAAATCCACAGGATGAGTACGAGCTCATTCAGAGGATAGGTAGCGGAACGTACGGAGACGTTTATAAGGTATGTAGACTGTAGAAATTTTACTGTGACCACAACGATCACTCACCGCGCACTGTACTCGTTTTATCTTTGCAGGCCAAAAGACTTTCCATGAATGACCTCGCTGCTATTAAGGTTATCAAACTGGAACCAGGTGAGCTCTCGCGTATAGTTTCTAGTTTTTTTGAGCTCCTACTTACATTTTATTTCACGCGCATTATTAATCGCAGATCCTCATTTTGTTAATGATATCAGTTTTGCTTAGTGATTTCTGCCTTATGTATTTTAGGGGATGATTTTGCAATTATTCAGCAAGAGATCCTAATGATGAAGGATTGCAGGCATCCAAATATAATTGCATATTATGGGAGCTACCTGAGAAGGGAAAAATTATGGATTTGTATGGAATATTGTGGAGGTGGTTCCCTGCAGGATATATATCACAGTATGAATCTTGTCGTTGTACCACTTTATCTCAGTATTCTATATGTTGCCTACTATATTTGAAATTTTGTTGTGTTACAGTAACTGGACCATTATCAGAAATACAAATAGCATATATGTGCCGAGAGACCCTATTGGGACTAGCTTATCTACATAGTATGGGAAAGATGCATCGTGACATTAAAAGTGCCAATATATTATTAACCGAAGCAGGGGACGTGAAATTAGCTGACTTTGGAGTCTCTGCGCAGATTACAGCCACTATCAATAAAAGGAAAAGTTTTATTGGCACCCCTTATTGGATGGCACCAGAGGTAGAATTGCTTCCTTTCTTATGTGCGTCCGTGTACTTTAGATTGCATATAACATTTGTGTTTATGATTTATTTAGGTGGCAGCTGTAGAAAGGAAAGGCGGCTACAATCAACTTTGTGATATTTGGGCATGTGGTATCACCGCGATAGAGTTGGCGGAATTGCAACCGCCTATGTTCGATTTACATCCTATGCGAGCGCTTTTTCTCATGTCGAAGTCCGGCTTCAAACCGCCGACATTAAAAGATAAAGACAAATGGAGTCCGACATTCCACAATTTCGTGAAGGTCGCTCTCACGAAAAATCCTAAGAAACGACCAACGGCCGAGAAACTCCTACAGGTTATTTATTCGTTTGCAATTTATGTTTTCCTACAAACATGGAAATATTGGGGGACTTCTGTGCAGACGATCGTTTTAACGAATACTATTGTTTCAGCACGCATTTTTTCAAGGCGAAATGAGTAAACGTTTAGCTTTGGAATTGTTGCAAAAGGTATCGAATCCTAGTCATATGTTTACTGATTTAGAAGCTGACGAAGACGGAGCCGTACCGAATGTTCCGCAAAGAATCGCTTCACGTCATACTGCAAGACCTAGACCAAAAAGCCCTATACCGCAATTAGATAGCGATGGTAAGGAATCATAGAAACCTGGTTACAGTTACTCTTATAAAAAAGAAATTTTTTTACACTTTGTAGATCAAATTAATCTAGATGGAACATTACAAAGAGAAGTAATATCGCCATCTGTCGATGGTAGTCCGGCATGGGATATTATGGACATCATGAATAATGTAAAGGTACCCCTTAATTCTTAAGCATTATTATTTATTTTTCTTTAATTAATTATTTTGAATTATTGCACTATAAATCTCTAGTATAATGATGAGTCCTACTTTTATATCCATGTGTAGACTGTTCATAATTGTGATGCACATCCAGACTGTGGTATTGGTACTGCATTCGAAGACGAGCAAGAAAAGTAAGTAAACTTTTTTAAGTCAGATGTATAATTATGTAGCTCTTGATGTTATTCTAAAATTTGGGGAGGAGGGTTGATGCTTTAAAGTCCTTCCACTAATATGGTAATTGCTGTTTCACTCTGTGACCAGTGGTCGTCTGTAATTAGTACTTGCCTTGCTTTGCAAAAGAAATTTGTGAACCGTAAAATTAAGTATAGTTTGGAAGCAAGTAAAGTGAAACAGCAGTGTTATGTTATAAGTTGCATACGGCACGTCTGCTTTTGCTTTGCATATGTTGCACTAGTTAGAAATGAATTTGGTTTCCTATAAAAGTAAATCCACGTTCATAATGGAGCGTTCTTTTAACTTTTTTTAAACGGTTCCTTTCGGATAATTTAGGTGTACTCTTCCAAAACATGATATAGTTGTTTCTGTGTCAGTATTGTTGCCGCTAGCGAGACAACAGATACTAGAAAATCTCGTCGAAGCAAAACAGGCACAGAAATATTTCATATGAGTTTAAGGTAATTGCATATGGTACAAGTAGTTTGGTGTGGACATTTTTCACAGCTTTAGACTACTATTGAATAAACTTAACGTCTTATTTGTTGAAACTGTTTAATTATATAAATAAGATAATTTCTGTTCGAGTTTCCATAAATGTGTGTATAATGGCATGGTAATTTGTTGACAAATATTGGAACTACGTACTGCAACGAATTAGTACATGTATATTGTTCTACAGAAATTCTTTCTTTTATTTTGTTTCATTCTATATGTGCATGATCAAAGGTAATTAATATACAGATACAGTGATAGTTCAATCATCTAAGATTTCATACTTAAGCTTATGTACATATTATTTTAATTACATCAGTTTACTTTATATATTTACGTCTGTATGTACATTGTTAAATGCATCAATTGGCTATGCATGTCAGTAATTTGCGATAGTATTTTATGCTTGGAATAATAATTTAAAAGTCTTACTGTTTTATGCACCTTCTATGTAAGTACTGTAAATATTATTTACTACCTTTGCCACGCGCGTTAGATTTATTTTCTGTGGAAATTCTAGCAATTCCAATAGCATTTTGTGAGCAGCTTTCACATAAATGTTGCACATTCGGTAAAAACAAGTCGTAAAAGTAAACTATGTAAATATTACTTTTGATATTGCACAACAAACGAGGAATTTCGTACCGAATGTGAAGCATATACAATCTTACTTAAATTACATAAGTGCTATTAAAATATAAGTTCTCTTTATGGGTGTTACATTGCAATTTGGACACAGCATTTGGGATACAAAATACTTAATATTTGGCTCTTATATTGTGCCTGGTTCTTGCTCAAATTTAATTTTCGCAACTTGTTCCTATTTCAATACATCATAAACCTAATTTCTCTGATCAGTTTGTAATTTTAATAATTTCTCCCTACAGGAGTCTATTGCAGTACATTGATGAGGAGTTGTTGCTAAGGTATTGGCAGGTAACCCTTTTCCCTTGCACCTTGCACCTTGCACCTCGCACTTACGTTTCCTAATGCTGCGCATTGAATTACTTTCTTTATACTGCAGCTTTATAATAATTATTAACTGATACCCCAAAGTCCTTTAACAACTTTTCTTTTATTGCATCGTAGCGAGGAGCATTTGAATTGATTCAGCTATTTATTTGCATTATGCGTTTACTTCGTTTACATTTGTTTATTATTTTTTACTTTTGATTCGAACACACACCCTCGATAAACGGTAATATGTATTAATATAATTGTCCCACACATACAGATATTTTTATGTGACATTTCATATTTTCAGAGTATGCTTCAATGAAAGTATGGTATTGTTAACGCTGTTCATTGCATGTTAGATTTTTATTAGACGATTCTGTTTCGAATCTGTTGACCATATTGGTGGTGGAAGTTCATATGCCTATTATAGAGATTGCAGGAGTGTACAGGAATTTACATAAATTATAATTAATTCAATATCAGCAAGCAGAAATTCAACAGAATTTCTAAGAAAAAAAAATTGTATAATCGTTTTATAGTATATGATTATAGTTTCATGTGTGCAGGGGGAATGCAATGTCGATGGTTGGTGGGCATTGCGACCAGCTATATTCCCTGCAGTAAGTAATTAACCAAATGTAATAGTAGATTGTTTTGCCTTTGGTTGTAGACACAGCTCAGTTATTTTTTTAGTTAATTTTATTTTAAAGTAACGATGGTCCTTCATTTTAAAACGAACGATTGGTGAACATGTACTCGAGAGTGTGGCCTCAATTCCTTGAAAAGTTCTAATTTTATACTAATAGCTTCTTGTAATCCATTTCCGGTTGAACGAGCAATATTATTAACAATTATGCTGACATAATGTATTGACTTAACATAGGTAATATATCTGTACATTTTGCGTTCCCAGCCTCACTTGCATGGGAAAACATTTCTGTTGTATTATTTTGAATTTCAAGTTTTCCCATCAAGTGTACTTGCTAGTAAATGTCCTGTACATTTAAACAATGCTGTATTGTATAATATTCTCTTTCCGAACGTCTCATACTTATGCATAATCAAATGATTTTCATTGTTATCATTATAGTATTACATATAATTTTGTAATACTCTAATTATAATGAGTTTGCAGTCCCTCCCTTCCATCTGCTAACATTCTTTATCACATATTCCATATCTACAGTAATTGGTGTCTCATGAAGGTCTCATGTGAAATTAGATTGTACGTATGCTCCTAATTCCAAATCAGTTATTATTAACTTATCATTTATTATTTACTAACTTAGTATCGCCTATATTTTGGAAGAAAATATATACTTTTATTGAATACTAATATTGTTTTAAACCTGTCTTTTTCCAGAGCTACACTTCCTCTGGGAGAGTCATCGAATGATTGCGAATTGCACTGCCCGTACTATAACATGTCAGGTAAGAAATCAGTTTTGTTACTGTTACTACCACTACACTAGAATGTGTACAGAATAGCACATTACATTCAAGACTTCCATATCAAACAAAGACATTGTACATATGAACACTTGCTCATTTATCTGTTGAAATACAGTAGAACATTGTAATGCATAGATTCGTAACACATGAATGATGTGGAGGTTCTGAACAGGCTTGAATAAACCATGGTAGTAGTATAAATAGTAGATTCGGTGCTTAGGATCTCAAGCAAGCCCCAGGCGTCACAGCTCTGTGGACGAGTTGTATGGTTTGGTGAGCAGTTCACAATCCCTAACTGCTGCCAATGGACAACGTCAACGATCTCTCTCGGACAGTGGTCCTAGAGATGAGACCTCACAGTCTAATGGTAGGAGCAAGCCAATCTTCGAGTTCGTTTCGTATATATCTTCCTAAAGCCATCTTGTTCCTTCTGAAGTAATAGCTCAGCGCTAATTAAAAACATGCTCATCGAATTTTCATGGACATTTTTCATGGACACACACTTACCAATAACAGACTGTAACAGGTATCATAGCTTCTAAGATACAAATCTAACAATACATACCATTTTTACAATATACCAAATTTCAATTAACAATTGTTTGTCAGACAATCTACTGTTGGACTTCTCGTATGGTATAATTCATTGATTGATGTAAGTAATTATTAGGTTGTGGACTAGAGACGAACTAACAATTTTCAGTGTTTCTAATTTCATCTGTTCATTTCTATCATAAATGCATAAATTCCGCAGTCTATTAATTGTAAGTGGTACATGTAATTGGCCAGGACAACTAATGAGACCTGCGGTTAACAGAAAAGTGTTTTGTTAGGTCAAAACGAGGCACCAGGTGATGGAGATAGAGAAAGCATGAGTCCAGACTTATTATCGGATACTCCACCTGTTCCCCCAAGGAGAAGGGACAGGAAACGCCATACACCACCTAGACCCATCAGCAATGGATTGCCGCCCACGCCCAAAGTACACATGGGGGCGTGTTTCTCAAAAGTGATCTCTTTATTCTTATTCTGTTCAATTATAATTTCTCAAATTAATGCTAAACAGATGTGTTCCACTTAGGTATTCAACGGCTGTCCTCTAAGAATACATTGCACTGCGAGTTGGATCCATCCAGATACAAGAGATCAGCACCTATTGATTGCAGCGGAGGAAGGAATTTACAATCTGAATCTAAACGAACTCCATGAAACTGCTATAGATCAGTTGTATCCCAGACGCACTATCTGGATGTATGTCATCAAGGATGTTCTCATGTCTTTGTCTGGTAAAATACGATATTGCTTGGCCAACGTCAGTGAAAACCATTTTGTTACATGCATTAAAATGAGCGTACATTTTTTTAGGTAAAACCCCGCAATTATACAGACACGACTTGCTGGCAATGCAAAGCAAACAGAGCCACAGGTTTTCATTACACATGAACAAAATACCAGAGAGATTAGTCCCCAGAAAGTTTGCCTTAACGACCAAGGTCCCGGACACTAAGGGATGCACCAAGTGTTGCGTTGGGAGAAACCCGTACAATGGGTAGGTCAATTTTGTTTAATCCATCTAGTTTAATATGCCTACAGAATAATTAATCCTTTTGGGGCGATCATAGTACGTACACACACGTTTCACAAGTTAAAACGCGTCATAAAGTTTATGATTTAAACAGTAGAGTTAAAATGTTAGCCTACTTTATAACGCAGATACAAGTATCTTTGCGGTGCGATGCCTACGGGAATATTTCTGATGCAATGGTATGATCCGCTGAACAAGTTCATGCTTCTGAAGCACTTCGATTGTACCTTGCCGTCGCCCTTGAACGTATTTGAGATTATTATAACGCCCGAAATGGAGTATCCGATGGTGTGCGTGTCCGTAAAGCAACCATATCAACAGAACAAATTGAAATTGGATTTGATTAACATGAATTCGGGAGCGAGCTGGTTTCACAGTGACGAACTAGAAGACATGGATGGTTCAGGTACATATTAATCCTAATTTTTCGATTCATTTAAACCTTTTTGATACGGCGGACGTGTATACACGTACGTTTTATAAAAACTATTTGTAGACTAAACACAGACATGTTTTTGTAGCCACTGTGATACCAAGAAGAGAAAACCTTCATGTGATCAATGTAACTCAACTGGAGAAGAACGCTATATTAGTATGTTACGACAGTAAGTAGATAAAGAGAACTTTTATACAAGAGTTTATGTCACCGCGATTTAAACTGCGACTATTTCAGACGTAGTGAAAGTAGTGACACTACAGGGAAAGCCTAGATCAACCAGAAAGCATATGTCTGAATTACATTTCAACTTTCAAATCGAGTCCATCAGTAAGTTTCTTATTTCCCATGGTAAATATAAAATACACGAGGATCTCTACTACGTATTAATAATGCATACTGTTTTTTGTGCAGTCTGTTTGCCAGACAGCGTACTAGCATTTCATAAGCATGGTATGCAAGGTAGGAGTTTCAAGAATGGCGAGGTCACGCAGGAGATTAGCGACCCGAGTAGAACGTACAGATTGCTAGGATCTGACAAGTACGCGATCACTTTTAACATAGTAGAAAATTTAGAATTAACATTGACTGGAGTTAAATGCAAATTTCGATCGATAGAGTGGTGATGTTGGAGAGTCACTTGGTCCAGTCAGGCACGCTGACAGAATCCGAGGGAGCGGACTTGTACATACTTGCTGGACACGAGGCCAGTTACTAAAGGCTTGCGTCTTCCAACTGTGAACGCGCTGGATTGGTGTGTCTCAAATGATTCGTGATTATCACAGACTGCGTGTAAAGTGAATACAAAACGAGACTGTAACTGAGAGAGAGAGAGAGAAAGAGAGAGAGAGAGAGAGAGAGAGGCGGTGGTCGACTTTGGTAAGAGAATATTGTTGATTATTCTATTTAAAAGCGAACATGTAACGAGAGGGGAAACAAGTCAGTCAGCGTGCATGTTGTTTCGTCACTGTTCTCCGTATAGTCGATGCTGCATAGACTGGGTTATTTATCGAGGACATTTTTAAAACGTAAGAAAAAAAAAGAAAGAGATTTAGGATTTAGGAACCGAAATCTAAAACACACACAAAAAAAGATAAGAAAAATAAAAAATAGAGACAACAGTGAGAGAGAGAGGGAGAGAATGGAATATCGGAAAGCAGCAGGAATATATTTAAAGTAATGTGTAAATTTGCCCTTATGCCTGACAAAATAAAGCTTATACCGATCGATTCTCCTTAAAGTAAAAAGGAACAAACATAGCACGTCGCAGAAATATCTGTAGACTTGAAGTATTCGTTTTAAACTGTTCCTTTCGAATTTCAATTTAATCCGATCGCAACGTAAATACATTTTAAAGTATGCAAGCCACGTGCGACGCACAGGCGATTGTAGATATACGAATATTTATATTTTTAGAATGATTTTAGACTGTACCATAATATAGGAAACCCTCTGCATCCTGGATACAAATTCATTGGCGGGGGGTGGGGGGTGGGGGCGAGGTATTGGCCAAAGATAGTCTAAGTAGTATTATAGATCAGCAACAGGAACAACGATTTAACTAGAAATTAATCATGGGATGGCCAGTTCGACGATACTTAGGGATCGGGTGTGTCATTATTTCTGTGCAAAAAAAAAACTCACGATTGTTTCGTATAAGTTTTGCTTTGGTAGGCATTGGGCTGTTGCATCAAAGTTATTTTAATAAGACATTGCGTTCATCAGTGTCTCTAATTTTGGACAATTGTACATGGGAATACAGTATACACGGCAAAGTAGTTTATGATGGCAATCATAAATGATTTATTTTGAGAAGCGTATATGTGGGAGACAGACGGCTTAGCAAAATGATTCGTTTGAACAGATTCGAAAAAAAGAACATTTTAATACATAAACCGAGTAATGATCTATGTACAACCGTGGAACATTTTAAATTACGTGATTGATTCTTAGCATTGATAATCAATTAGAAACGATGCATCTCGTGTTTCTTTCCCGATTAAGGTTCTCTTAAAGAAAGGAAATATTTTATGAGCACGAATCACGTCGCACGCGTTTTTGGAAAATGTGCTTTTTCCAACAAACTGTGAACGCGTTGGTATTTTTCTTCGGAGATCAAACATAGTTACTTGGAATGGTTTCTAAAGACTGGAAGAAACGAGGATTTCTTATTCGCGAAAGACTTTTCTTAAAATACACGAGAACGGTGTGTATTCTTCGGAGGAAGAGTGCTGGATGAAGCATAATTCATTGTCGAACTTTGTGTCGCGAGGAGTTGCTTGACGCATTTCGTATTTACGTTTCGCCTCTTGATCGCCGAGATTACGTTGATTTGTGTTTTTTTGATCAGGAACGGAATCTCACGCAGTATTGTACCAATTCCTCGAGTTGAAGCCTTTACAATGATTTCGTTGAATCAGCGTTAATCGACACTATGTGATATAATCCTTTTGCACGGCTGCTGGTTAATGCGAGCAGCGTGCGATACAGTTTCTCTGTTTATGAGTAACGTTCGATCAAAAAAAAAAAAAGAGAAAGAAAAAGGAAAAAATGAACATAAGGAGAAGGAGAAAGGAAAAATGTAAAATGACTTCGACCTGCACTGATATTAAGAATAACGTTCTAAACGTTTGTAAATAGACTTTTTATTTATCGAGGAAAGTGTCTATATTGTTTATGTAATTTAAATAATACTCGTTTAACGTATTTCCGTTGCGTTAAGGAGTCTCGGACGGTTGAGCGTCCGGACAGTGAATTAAAATGGGTATACGTATAATAGAGAAATTGACGATGAGCTGGCGTGCACACAGCGATTAGTATGGAATAAAAGACAAAGACAGCGCTTGAACACGTTTGTTTTAGATTATAATTGTATTACCTACAACTGTTACGTTAGGTTTAGCGGTAGCTGCTGCGAGATTTAAGTTTCTAGAATTTTAAATGAAAATCGATTGTTAACGCATACTTGAGGAAAAGACATTCGACGCTAAAAGGGAAAACTAATAGATCTCACTGTGACGGTCGCTTGTGAAACTTCGCGAAGACCTTGGACGGGTCTCTGAACGTAATCGATGACAGAAAATCGCAACAACAAGTAATATCTCTTAGGTCGTTAGCCGCCTAACACGTGTTACTACTACCATAAATCGAATTAATCGAAAGCAAGAGACATTCGATGTTGAGAGTTTAAATAATTAAGGGAGACTAATCCATTTGAAAAATGCTTTTTCCGTGTAGCTAAACGAATTCTGTTAGACTAAATACGCAGATTTCTATTTTAATATTAGTACGTCTAATAAAATAATATCCACGTAATTCTTCGTCGGGCCTTCGAGAAGTAAAATATTAGATGAATAACGAATAATTCAGATATGCATAATAAAGAGATCTATTAAACGATTCGTCACGTAATACAGTTTGTCACGATATACGCATACAATTATTATACGTAATAGAAGAATAATTTGATACCGATTCGATTTCATTGAATTTGACCTTCGTCTGTGTCCTTCTAGATGCGAGATTAGCGGCGTTCTAAACGATTATGGGTATCTGGCACTTTTCCATCCATTGTAGACGCATTGATTGCAAACCGAATGACCACCGATTTGCAACAGGATTGATTCGGCATGTAAATTGAACTAGAAGAGAGAGAGAGCGAGAGCGAGAGAGGGGGACAGGGGCAGAGTAAAAAAATTATCTTGGAAATGTTGAGATATTTTGGTATTTTATATGAAAGAATTTGCTCTGTAAATAGAACAGTAGGTTACTAAAGAAAGTATTACGCTATTGAATGTTTACTATAATAGTCTCATATCCGACTGCTTATATCGCCGGTAACTAATTAATTAATTACGTTACACATTCGTTACGGTATTCGGTGTCGGGGTGGGCTGGGGCGGGGAGGGGGAAGGGTGCATCGTTGGTGTAAACTCGCGAGAAGACGAACGGAAGAGCAGGAGAAGCTACTGACACGGCAGTTCGTTCAGCATAATCGCCGTCGGTGCCGAAGACTCGTGGCACAGAGTATATTGACACGTACATATATACACGTATGTGTCGCGGGATTTGTTACTGCAAAGCAGAGGGATCATGTACGTTCTAAGATAGAACAATTCCGCGCCGACGATTCTTTCGACTAGAACAAATTTAACATGATTGTGTTCAGAATATGTATGTATATTGTCCAAGATAGATATCGTTTCGCTGCATCGAATGTCACTCCTGTCTTTGCATACACTTAAGTTTCTCTTGACGCGCTTGTTTCGTCGAACACGCGTCGTTTCAGCGTATACACATATAGTATTTAAACGCTCTGTTATAATGCGTCGACTACCCCCGAGCGAAGCGAGACATTTTTCAAAGAATTGTACCAAGAACAATTGTACCGAACAATGAACGATTTAATGTAAAAGACGATTCGTTGGGACGAACTATACGTCGAAAACACGTAGAACGACGTCTCCGTTCGCGAGAGAAAACAATGGATGCCGTCGCGTTCATACACCTTTGACATTCTCTCGCGAACGGAGTCGCGTTGTGGAGAAAAATATTTCTCCAATAATAATAATAATAATTCAGTGTTTTCTCTGGAATCGTTCCGCTTCACAGCTCCGCCACGGGGCCACCAGCCCGTGCGAAAGGGGTAGCCGACGCGTTTTTTTTTTAAGTCCAAGCACTCGAGGTAGCATTGAAACGTGCACGCACAAAAGCGAACAAATAGCTCGAGTAAACGATCGAACAGAGATGATTATTAAAAGAAGACGATTGTACGCGTTGCTGTTTGTTGTACACGTTGATGTGGCATTAGAGACGAGAGAGAGAGAGAGAGAGAGAGAGAGAGAGAGAGAGAGAGAGAGAGAGAGAGAGAGATGTTTCAGGGAACCAAGCAGGTCCGCGTCGCGGTATACATACGCGCAGCATATGTATAAGTGAGCACATATGTATACAGCGTCGACGATTAGTTCGCGGTTACAATCAGTGCTTAAGCAATCAAACGCTATGGGGGATAGAAAAAAAAGGTGTAATTGAATGCGGGGTTGGGTGTTGGACCGCGTCGGCGGATCCTGTATTTAGAGCGAGAATGTGAAAAGAGATGTCTTCCCTGTGTCCGCGACTTGATCACGGCAACCACTAGAAGACGTTCGATCGTCGCCGTACAGAAGGAGATCATTTATTTTGTAATAACCAAGTCGCTGCGACGTTCTATTCTTCTGTTTAGACACACGCCCTGTACAGAAATTATTCGAGTTCCAGCAACACAATCGAGCGCAACATTTGTTCGAGGGAGACGCACCCCGCGCGACGCAGCCTGCGGCACGGAATTTCGATCATCGAGTCGAGACGAGCACACAGATTCACGGCTCGGCGTTTCCTTTCCTGTGTTCGCACGATCACAGTAAATTCTCCTTAATCGACGCCCGGATCGTGCACGAAAACGGACGGTTTGGGAAGAGGAGATACGATTATTCGAGCCTTGCGGCTTTTATAGCATATATATTATAAAATATTATTATATTATACTATACTATATTATATTATATTGTATTATATTATATTATATTATATTATATTATATTATATTATATTATACTATATTATATTATACTATATTATATTATGTTATATTATATTATATTATATTATACTATATTATATTATATTATATTTATATTATATATAATATTAGTAATTATAAATATCTATTGCGGCTTTTATAGTTGTTGACAATCGGTAACTATAAAAACGAGTCGCAAGGCTCTCGAATAATCGCATCGCCTCCAGAATTGTCCATTTTTGTGTAAAATCCGAGCGTCAATTAGGGAGATTTTATTGTATCGCGCGGGGAATTGCGGTTGCGAGCGATGGATCAAGGTGTAAACGAGAAAGGCTTACGCTCTGTAAATGTGTGTGTGTGAGAGAGAGAGAGAGAGAGACGTTTCGGGGAATGTATTATGGTATCTGGTATGGCATAAAGACATAGACGATTAGAACCTAACGGAGACGCGAGGAGTCCTCAAGCTTGGACGTATGTGTACTGTATGTATGTATGTATGTATGTATGTATGTATGTACAAAGGATGTGTAATCCGCGTTGGTAATGTAATCAGGATCCGCGTCGCATTCGACCGTCTCCGGAACAATTGTTCGGCCGATTTCACGCACAATCGCAACGTTGCTCGCACGTTTCACGGCGGAAAATCTCGACGATTTTCCAGGCGATTCCACGTATTGCGACGAGAGACCCTCGGCCGTCTCCTGGGCACATTACCGATATCTTCGATCCTTGACGAATCGCGATAGTCGTTCGATTTTCTCTTTATCGTGAAACGCACGTGTACCGATATCTGTGTAATCTGTAGCTTCGATAACGTCGTCGATAGCTGTACACTGCAATGTTACCTGGCAAAGTTTTGTATCGTTCTAAAGACAATAATTTCATTCAAAGCGACGACGGGGTACGCGACGTTTCAGCAGAACGTAATCGGTACGCACACGTTCGATGCGCTAGAACGACGACGAAAACGAGCACGATTTCAACGTGAAGAAAAACGTGCGTCTCGACGACGCGTCTCGCACGCAGATTCTACATATCCGTGTTCCGTTCGGTCGCCTGAACAGCTTCGAATCCTCCGAGCGGAAGGCTTCGAAGTTCTTCCGACGACCCATTGCCTCGACCACGAAATTTTAATCGCAACCCTCGCACAGCGTTCCGTTGAACACAGCGCAACAGCCGAGACGTAATTTCGTTTTCGATCGAGCGTCGACGCGTACACGTGCCGGCCCGTGAATCTTGTAAATCGGTCTTACAATGATCTCGGACCCGCCACCGCGTGTATGTAGGATGTCCCAAAATTATCGCACAAGAAATTAGGAGTTCCTGACGTTATTTGAAGCAACTTTTTCCTTAGCGAAAATGCGATCCGTGGCTCCGTTTGCGAGTTATCAACGAAAAACAGTGACGCCCCGCCCTCGCGACCACTGCCGCTGCGTCAGACGGCCGGCGCGACGCGGCATTGGCCGAAAGGGCGGAGCGCTGGCCGCGCTCGCTCTTCGATTGGTCACTGTTTTCCGTTAATAACTCGTAAACGAAGCCTCGTAGAACATTTTCGCTAAGGAAAAAGTTGCTTCAAATCACCTCAGGAATCTCTCGTTTCTTGCTTGCACAATAATTTTGGGACTCCCTGCAGTAAATCCTCCCGAATTTTCGCTTACAAGCTGAAGGTAAATTCGGGAGAATTTCCTGGATTTTACAACGGTGTGTCGCGTTCGAGATCGAGCCGACGATTCCACGCGAGTTTATATGGAATTGAGAGGTCGATCGTTCCCGTGTTCTCGAACCATTCGTACAGTTAGAACGAAGTTGTAGGTCTCTTAGCAGTAGGACAATTAGTACAGCGATAACATGTACCTGTCCGTATTGACCTGATCGGTGTCCTTGCCTCTTGCACACGCGAAATCATTTCAGTCGCGCGGGATACTTCCACCGTTTTCGCGCGGCCGTTCCGTTCGTCGTGTTACCTTCGATCGGCGAACGCGAATGTTCGCGCGTAAATGCAAACGGGGGGGAACGTAGCATCAACGAAATAAATTACATAAATTACGGCGACGAATCCACCGTCGGGAGAAACCGTCGCGTGAAACTCAACTGCGTTGTCTCTTTCTCCGATTCGTCGAAATTTTCATTGTGATTTACGGCGTCGAAAGAGCGAAAATATCGTCGCCGGTGCCGATCGATCGGTCCTCGATCGTCGATCGTGTGCACATTTATGTTTTTTTTTCGGTGGAAGTGGGAAAGGCGAAGAATGATTTAAGGGGGCAGGCAAGGTCGTATCGTAGGAACGACGATGAGGAGGTGGCTTAGAGGAAATGTAACAAAAAACGAGAGAGAAATACGCGAAGAAGAAACAGAGAGAAAGATTCATATATATGTATATGTACACGATGTATATACATATGTATGAATGCAAATATTACATAAATATATATTTAATAAAATTCTTTAAAGAGATATGTAAGTTCAAAGAGATATAGATCGGCGCGGATTATAGACGGAAGGTGATTGGTTCGCGCTCGCAAGGAACGGTCGCCGATGCCGAAGTTTCGCGGATTCGTTTGCACGGGTCGAAAGCATAGGTGAAATTAACTTAATTAATCAGACCGGTTAATTAACCCCTCGACATACAAACGGAATTTACTATGAAGCTATAACAACTATAAAAAATAATATAAAATCGTATCAACTATAACAACTATAAAATCGTATCTTCTCTTTCCAAATTGTCCATTTTCGTGCACAATCTGAGCGTCGATTTGTGAGAATTTACTGTGCCTCGCTTCGTCGGCCCGCGCGGTAAATAAATTGTGGAAACAATTAGTTACACGTTATACAAAAAGAAATGCGTTTAATTGCAGATCCATTGGTAGCGCATACTAGGTATGAAATTCCAATTAATGTGTATTATTGAATAGCAAGAATATTGTATATTATATATATAATAAATAATATATTTATTATATTATATTATTTAATAATAATAAATATATATAATATAATATAATATAATATTATATATATATTATATTCTTGCTATATATAATAACAGAATAATAGAGAAAAATAAATGTCCGAAACGGAAATAATTTTTGCAATGCGGACGAATCAGTGCTCGGTTGCACTTTCGATTCGGGTTTCTGTAAATCTTATCACCGGTGCTTTCGAACAGCGCAAACGACTTCGCGGAAGTTCTGGCACGAACGGCGACCGTTCCTTGTTGGTTTAAGGGGAGATTGTTAATATGTCAATAGCAAGTTATTAACCAAAGCTTTAGCTGCGAATAGCCGCGACGATTTAATGAAATTATTCTTACAAGTGGAGTAGGAAGGCCACGCGTTGTTATCGCATAAATAAACATTAGGTTTAAGGCGACGCTGCACGAGAAACGTGACCAACTTTTTCCAACCCCGTTCCCGTCGCGATGGAAAAAAAGAACAAAAAAACGATCGATCGACCATGGGAAAGAGATATCGAGGCATCCGCGACCGCGCTTGTAAAATAACGCTCTAACACGCTTCGAATATCTAAAGCGGTATCCCAGGCCTCTTAATTGCGCCAATTAATTAATAACGGCAAGACAGCCGAGGGTTGGAGAAACGCTGGTTCCACCCTTTCGATGCGCGAAAGATCGCGTTTAAAACTACGGCAGACCAAAATATAGGCATCGAGAATATCAAGCTGCGTCGCGTTTTGGTTCGCCAACGGATCGGTGAAATATTCCCGGCATCGCGTCGAAGGGGTGTGCCGAACGATGATAATCGATTTCAGGCGTGTACGACGCCCTTGTATGCGCAACTTGTAAATGAGAATATATCTTAATTTATTCTTTATATTTATATTCGTAACCGGGACTAAAGAAGCTTGGACGATTCTTTCTTTCGTCGGGAATCTCGTCCGACTCGAAGCAACAATACGGCAGTTTAAATGTACGATAGGCTGTTAACGGTTGTATATAATGTGTATACGGAGAGTGGATCGTTTTCTTTTTTTCTGTTCACGCGAAGCTTCTCACGCCCCACTTTAGTCAAATTCTCGTTTCTTTTCCTTTTTATAAGTACAGTATTGCGTAGCTAATTTATGAACGTTTATGTACCATTTCGCTCGTATCTCTAAGCACGACTAGCCAAACCTCTGTAAATAGTCACTCTCGTAATAAAACCTACCTGAAGTAATTCGGTGATCCTTCTTCCGGCGTCCGGGAACCCTCGACGATCCGGATCCAGAGGTTCTAAGCTTCTCATTTGTTGATTCGCATCGTCGGTTGGTCACGATAACCGTTCGTCGATCGTCTCGTGTACCGAACGAATTTCGCACGGAATCGTGGATTGTACGACAAATTTTCATTCATACAACTACAACACACTGTCGTGCTAAATTCGTTCGACACCGAAAAATTGCCAGCTACAGTAATGTCTCCCTTACTGACGCTCAGATTGTCCACAAAAATGGACAATTTTGGGAAGAGGAGATACGNTGGATCGTTTTCTTTTTTTCTGTTCACGCGAAGCTTCTCACGCCCCACTTTAGTCAAATTCTCGTTTCTTTTCCTTTTTATAAGTACAGTATTGCGTAGCTAATTTATGAACGTTTATGTACCATTTCGCTCGTATCTCTAAGCACGACTAGCCAAACCTCTGTAAATAGTCACTCTCGTAATAAAACCTACCTGAAGTAATTCGGTGATCCTTCTTCCGGCGTCCGGGAACCCTCGACGATCCGGATCCAGAGGTTCTAAGCTTCTCATTTGTTGATTCGCATCGTCGGTTGGTCACGATAACCGTTCGTCGATCGTCTCGTGTACCGAACGAATTTCGCACGGAATCGTGGATTGTACGACAAATTTTCATTCATACAACTACAACACACTGTCGTGCTAAATTCGTTCGACACCGAAAAATTGCCAGCTACAGTAATGTCTCCCTTACTGACGCTCAGATTGTCCACAAAAATGGACAATTTTGGGAAGAGGAGATACGATTATTCGAGTCTTGCAGCTCGTTTTTATAGTTGTCGACAATTCGTGTCTATAACAATTATTATTTATTATATTATATATATATAATATTATATTATATTATATATATTATATATAATTATATAATATTATTATATTATATTAATAATACAATATATATATATATATAACAATGATCGAATGATCGTCTCTCTTCTCCCTAAATCTGAGCAACAGATATATTTCTGGCAAATTGTGTGTTTCAGCACCGTGCGTGCGGGTCTACTCTAAAAAATGAATCGGCGACTAAATCGTATAATTTTAATTGGAAATACGAATAACAAACAAAATGAATACTGATGATAATCCGTTTGATTTATCGGGAACAACTAAACTCGCGGGACGCGACGAACTCAGTTAGGTTTCTTGAATAAATAAAAAATAACGGTTCCGCATGTATTTCAGTTTTTTCGTCGCCTAAACGAGCCTACATTTATTGTTCGGAGAAGATAATACGATCGTTCAAGTCCTAACGAATTAATCGAATGTTCGTCGACGCTTACAGTTATTCAGTCGATACAGATCCGACTAACAAACGCGATACAGGGTGATTAGAATTCTCAGTGTAACAACTCCTCCTCCTTCTCCTCCTACTCTCCCTGTCACTCCTGGAGATTTGACAACAAACCATGCAACGATATATTTAAATTTCTACGCGAGATCAACATTACGATTTGCGTTCATCAATTACCCTGTATTGTTCGCATAAAATTTTCCGTACGACAGTGATTAAATACGAGATATAACGTTAGACGAGAATTATCGCTCGTAAATCATTTTCTTCTAATTACCGCTCTAGGGTTCGCGTGACACGACAAATCGTACGGCAGTATTCGTTTCGATGTTCTACAGTACACAGTGCGACGGGCGGTTTGTGAACGCCGGAACCATCGCGTTTGCGAGAAGAGAAGTGGTCGGCGTTAAGGCACAAGTAGCATAAAGGGAAACGTAATGTGTACATGACGACTGCACGATCGTCTCTTTTCCGCTGTCGGATCAATTCGATACAGTTGCGGTTGTATCATTCGTAAACGTAAAAAAGAACGAAACGATATTATTAGAGGAAAAGATGAAAGATTTAATATAAAAAAAAAGAAGAAACGTAACCTACACATGTACATATTATGCTTTCCAATACAGCGTCCGACTGTCGTTTAGATCAATGTTACTCGTTCGCTCTCAAAGGACTCGCCCTCGTTAAATTACTAAATCGTCTTCGATCTGTTTTCACCGACGTCGCAATAAAATGTAATCTCACACATTGTACTTTTTTTTCGATCTTTCTCGCAAATTTCCTAATTCATCCACACCACCGGCGAGAGTATTATTGATCTGTGGACATGGATCTCTTAACCCTTTCAAGATATCCTATCCTGCAACTTTCCTTACCCCTATCGCCCCCCCTCCAATCGAAAAACTCACAGAACTTGTAACCAGAAAACATCCGTCAATGTCAAAAGGGTTAAGAACGTGGAAAAAACGTGAAATTTGTGTCGAGTTCCCCACGCGGCGGGGTTTGTACACATTCATTGGTATAAATTATGTTTCAACGTGACCCTGCAACTGACCCACGATCTTCCTGACCCAACCCGCCTGGCTCTGGCCCGCGGACACGTCGTCCCTGTCCTCCCCGGTCCCTTTACAACTAGCGTGTAGACCGTTGTTAAAGTATCCGCCACTTTCGGGCAAAGAGGACTTCGCGTAGTCGAGGTCCTGACCCTTGACCGCGGGCTTCGCTTTCAAATAGTCTGGCTTTTGGGCGACGTTCGGTTTGCACTTCGCGGTCACATTGAACGTCTCTCGGCTCCCTACCAACGTAGAACTGTCCGTCTTCCTCTTCGCAGGAACCGGAGGCGCTATTTTGCTCTTCATGGCCACGTCCTCGTGCCCCGAGAACGGTCTGGCCACCAGGACCTCCTCGATGTCGCTAAATATTGCACTGTCCCTAAACGCGTCGTCGACGTCCGCGTCCACGTAGTTCTCTATCGTCTCGAACGACCGCTCGTAGAAGCTATCCGTCTCGCTCTCTCTGTTCTCCACGCTCTCCTCGTCGTCCTTCTCCTCCTTCTCCTTGGTCTGACTCTTCAAGGTCGACGGTTGCAGTCGTTTACTCTCCAGAAACAGTATAGAAGGATCCGCGTAGTCGGACTGAGCGATTCGAGCACCCAAACAGGAGCTACCTTGCTTGTAATACAGCGACGAGACTCGGGAATCGGACGATCCTTTGGCGGCACAGCCTACGAGCTCTTCGACGTCCGAGGACGCCTCTCTGGCGTGCTTCAGCTTGCCCTTCTTCTTCAATTTACCCGTGCTCAACGAGCGGAAGTACTTCGTCCGTTCCAGCTCCTCGCTGCACTCCAGGGTCTCCGTGCTCATGGTGTTCCTCAGCCCCTGAAGCCGGCTGCCAGCCTTCGACAGCACGTTCTTGAAGATGGTGGAGCTGCCGCTGGTGTTCGCCCTGTAGATCTTGTGGTCCGGGTGGATGTTCGTGGTCGTAGACGAGGACATGTGGATCTCCGAGTAGGCGTCGGTCAAGGTGTCGTCCAGGGAGCATAAGAAGGTCGACGTGGAAGTTGAGACGGACGTGGGGAACTTGGCGATCCGGCCCTGAGGCTGACACGACGAAGCGTACCTGTCGGAAAGTTTCGAAATCAGCACCGAGTCGCTTCTCCAAGCTTTTCTTGCGTTAAAAGCTAACGAATAAAATTCATCGTTTTCTTTTTTTTTAGTTATAGCATAAAAATGTTCTATATGTTCACCGGACTACCTGCGTTGCTTCACGATCATAACAATTCTCAGTGCTCTAACAAAAACGGATCCACAATTCACTGAAAAGAAGTGTTAGCACCGATGTGTTAGTAATAGTGTCAACAAGTAAAAGCGTTAGTTGCGACGCGACCGATGATTCTCGTTGCAAGCCGACGTACCTCTCCATGTCCTCCAGATTGATTTCCGCGGGTTTGTCGGAGGCTATGGTGAACGGTCGCTCGCTCATGGGTTTGCCGTCCCTCTGGAGGAATCGGGATTTGGTTACATTTTGGTTCGAATTCGGATTGATCTGAAAGCTGCGCGGCAATGAACCGCACTTCTGAGGGGACGTGGGCAGCCCTTCGCAGCGTTTCGTCAGCCACACGGCCGGCCTGGTCGGGCTCTCGTTGTTCTCCAAGTCCTTGTCTTCGCGGAGGCCTTCCCAGACGTGTTGCAGATTGTCGTAGTTGCCAAACCCTTTGCCGGTGTCTTCCACGACGTCCTCGCGATCGCAGGAATCCCCGTTCACCTTCTCGCTCTCCTTAGCAATTTCTGCCCGGTTTGCAACCGGGACAGGATCCTCGCTTCTGGACGTCGAGTTCTCCCGTATCCTCAAAGCGGTCTTGATCACCTTGCTCTCGGTGACGATGCTCTGCCTCTTGAACGCCTCGAACAGCGCTTTCTTCTCTTGCACGCGGTTCATTTTGTTCTTCAGGCCGGCGTCGTTCAGCTTGTTCTCCGCCTTGTTCAGATTGTCGTAGAGCAACTGCAACTGCATCGGTTGACGATCCCTCGCGGACGACAAAGCGTTCCAAGTGTTGTTCGTCCTGACTAGCCGGTCCCTTTGCACCGCTTTCAGCCGCGTCATCCTGTTGTTCGTGCTTTCCACGATGTAATTCGTGTTCTCGGAATCGCTGTCGTCCGACGTGTCCGCGGACAAGTGCTTCTTGAGACGCCTGACGTTCAGGATGCTGTTCGTGCGCTGTTTCTCCAACAGTTTCTGGAACTCTTGGTTCTGCATCAGGATGTGGCCGACTATCTCCTCCACCGTTTGCGCCTGGGTCTGTTGTTCGGTGTTCTCTTTGGTTTCCGGCGCAGGGGAATTCAACGGGCGCTGATCGTTCTCGGCGATCTTCGGTTCGATGGTCGTCGAACCCGCGTCGACCAAGTCCTTCTGCTCCTCGTCCGATTGGTTCAGGCACACGTACGACTGGAAGCCGGGTTCCGACTTCCTTCTCCATCCGGTGAAGCGATCCTGAAGAGCGAACGATACTTTTAGCTTGCTGGATAGGGGGGGATTACGGTGTCTCGAGGATCGAGCTTTCCGTACCTTCACTTTTGATCCCAGCCCGTCGGAGACTCTGAGACCCTGATCCCTGGAGTCCGCGATGCTCGATTCCTCGTTCTGGTTCTTTCTCGTCGATGCTGGAGAATCCTGGAAAACGCGCTTGGTTAGAGTGCACCGAAGAGAGCAACAGGTTTTAGCGTTTCAAGAGTTCCACGGGTCCTTTTACCTCGGTTGTAGTCTCAGACTTTCTGCCATTCTTCTTGAATTTCTGCCTAAGCCCGGTCTCCGAGCGCCGCCTCTCTCGTTCCTGCTTCCGCTTCTCTAAGTACTCTGGCGGCGCGGAGTATTGCTTCTTGGCTGATCCTCTATCTGCCAGAGCGTCATCTACGAGCGTAACGTTACCTTAAGCTGTCTCAACGAAACCCGGATATTTAGCAGTACATATTTAACAATGCAAATGGAAGTTACCCTCTGGTTGTGTCTGGCCGAGCTGCAAGACCAACTGCCTCGCGTGGGAAGGTATCACTGCGTTATAGTTCTCAAGAATCACCCTCTTTATCTGCAGCGTCCATTCTCTTTTCTGCTCCAAGTTCCTCGCCTTCGAACGCAACAAAAAGAACATTCTTGTAGATAGTGTTGCTAGACAAACTACAGTGATGCACGATTATAATAGAAAATCTGTACGGTTAATTAATCCGAGAATAAATTAAGTATTTTCGATGCACATCGTGTTTGTTGTGCTCGTTTCAATCAGTAGAATCTGAGCTATAATTATAAAGAGATAACGGGCGATGACTAAAAATGAGAATTCTCTTGACTGTACGTTGATTTTCGTGAAAGCATGTATATATGAGCCGTTTATTTTGAAAGTGGCATAATTTTTTAATGTTTATACGAAATTATTTATACCGAGAAAAATATCAGTATCCTGGGGTAACAAATACAAGTAAATATATCGACTTAAAAACAAAGCGACTTATGCCACTTTCAAAATAAACGGCTCATATATTCCCTTACATCCCCGTATGACGAACTATTGGAAGAGAGAATACTGTAAACGAGTAACAGGGCGCATCGTTACCTGCAAAGTATACTGCAGTCGAGGATTATCAAACGGAATCACGTGGAAGCTAAGCGGTTCTCCCGGTATGCTTTCGATGAGCATCAGGTTGGAACACTGTTGAGAGCAAATAGTTTCTTATGAGAACTTATTAATAAAGAGAAGGGTTGAGAAAGAAAGAGAGAGAGAGAGAAAGGGGGGGGAGGAAGAGATTGTACCATAATGTGAGCCTTGTAGACTAGAAGTCCATCTTCTTTCTTCTTGGTGAGAAGAAGCATACGATCGAACAAAAAGGCGTGCCGAGGGGCTTTCGCCCCTCGCATTCTGAATCGCCCTTCCGCCACCAGCTCACCGCTGGTGGTTAAATCTGGACCAGGCCAGCCGTACAGAAGGGACTGGATCTCTTGAACACGCACAGCGTGCTCGTGTCGTCGTTTCATCGCGTTTATGTGCTTCGCGATGCCAGTCATCGCGTCCAACGCCGCCTCGATCGCCTTCCTACCTTCAGCCTCGTCCTCTCTCGAATCGTAGTCTGCCCCGTACTCCTTCGACAGGTTCTGCAAAGCCAACCAATCATTCAGATGTTTCGAAACGAATCGACATATTATGGCCACTACTGCACAGCGAAACGAATGGTAATTCTAGATGGGAAAAAGTCACGCGCGTATTTTCATCTTATTCATAATGAATCGGAATTACTATTTTAAGCCTAGAACTGATGTTATTTTCAAACGTAGTCGTATTATTTATTTCTATTCTTGTATGTATAGTTACTATATAAATTGTTACATGTGCCATTAGTCTCAGTAAACATTCCAGAAAAAGAATATATGAAAAATATTTATTTATTTTCGTGATACAACTTCTTTTCCACCTAGAATGCCCATTCGTGCTCTGATCTCACTCGGTAGACAGTCGCTCACCTCTAAGAGTAAATGGTACTTCAGGATCCTCTGGACCGGCTTAAGAAGAAAAGATCCGAGCGGCAGCGCGTGTCTCAAAGCCGCTTGCCTTTCCCGAAACGCGTTCGCAGCTTCTTCTTGGCTCATCAGATCGGTCAACACGGAAACCGTCCTGCAATGATGGTCTACGTCAATGCCTAGCTTATACACAGCGTATCTGAACAATATTTTATTCGAACTTCAACGTTCGTGCTTGTCAGGTTGCTATAAAAATAATCTTCACCGTAGCCGAAGTAATCTCTTCAGCTATTTACCTCGGGTAATTGGTGCAGTACTCTGTGTACACCTTGAATCCTGAGTTGTGCTTGATAAATGTGTTTGCCATGCAAACAGGGTCCAAGCCGCACTTCTCGATTTCTTGAAGGAACTGACTGAAACGAAATTCATCGCTTAATCAATCCCCGAAACCCCTCTCATAGATACACAGGTTGTCCCAATATTATTGTACAAGCGGGTTCCTGAGGTCATTTGAAGTAACTTTTTCCTTAGCGAAAATGCAATCCGTGGCTTCGTTTACGAGTTATTAACAAAAAAACAGTGACGCCCCGCCCTCGCGACCACTGCCGCCGCGTCAGACGGCCGGCGCGACGCGGCATTGGCCGGAAGGGCGGAGCGCTGGCCGCGCTCGCTCTCCGATTGGCCACTGTTTTACGCTAATAACTCGTAAACGAAGCCTCGTAGAACATTTTCGCCAAGGAAAAAGTTGCTTCGAATCACCTCAGGAACCTCTCGTTTCTCGCTTACACAATAATCTTCGGACACCCTGTCTCGTCGAAGGAGAATATTCTCGTTACCTGTTGAACTCGAAAATATCCTCGATATTGCTAAATAAGTCGCCTAGTTGCATTCGATGGGCAAACGATGCCGGATCGTTTCTCCAAAATATAAGGTAACCCTGGAAAATCGATAAATTTCTTCGATTCTGCTCGTCTGCGAAATCATGTAGAATTGAAGGAGCAAGACGGACACGTACTTGGATGATCTGTCGCAGGTGTTCGACGTAGATCGCTTCGGTGTCGACTATCTCGAGGAGCACTCTTTCCATGGGGTTCCGATGGGAGTCGCAGTACCGTGGCCTGTAGAAAGGTGGGTCCTCCTCCGCGCTGTTCCTCCTCTGGCCGCTGCCATCGTTGCCGATGCGACAGTTCGATTCCGAGACGGTGACCACGCCGCTGTCCCCGGAACCTGTTCGATTAGAAAATCTCTTCGGGGTCATCGACGGCTCGATCGCGATCGATTTAGGCCCGAACGCGACACCCCGGGGGAAGCGCGATCCGGAGTCGGAAATATTTTAGAAATTCGTTTCCCAATGCATCGGCGGCCGACGGAGATTCCAAGGACTCCGACTTTCTCTCCCGGCGCGGCGCCGCGTAATAACCAGCAAATGACAGTAATGATAGCAACGGTGGCAATAAAGTTCTCTGTCTCTCTCCCTCTCTCTCTTTCTCTCGGTGTTCCGCGATCATCGAGGAAAACGTTGCTCTCCGCGCGGCCTGAATCGCGGCCCGAGAAAATGCGAGCCGTAAAGATCTACACGCCGGCTCGTAAAAAAATAGAAACTCCCTTCGCTTTTCTTTCGGGAAAGTGAAATAAAAGAAGCGGAGAACGTCGATAGGTCCGCCGATCCGCCGGTAAATTAACCAGTTAGCTGTGGCTCGACGAGAATATTTCGAGGCCGATCGTACGCGAAGCTGTTTACGTTGTTGTAAAAAGTAAGATTAGAAAAGGATTACAATATTGCTAGTGAATACTAGCAATAAAATTGTTAATTTTATCAAATAAAACCGCCTTCCTGATCCAACGTTTTAACAGCGACGCCTACTCTGTGCTTCACGAGCATATTCGTCGTCGCTTGATTCTCGTGACACACATAGGTTATGTCAAGATTATCGCGAGGTTATGAAGTAGGCGCCGAAAAGGTGGCGCCACAGCCGACTGGTTAAAGTCCTGACGCTTTCCGGAAGAACTGAAGAAAAATGGAAGAAGAACCGGTGTCGATGGATCTTCGCCAGCGAATACAGTATTCTCTCGATAACTGTTGCGAAGACCTCTACGATAACTGCCAAAATTCTATCGCCGCCACCGAGGTAAGCCCTTTCTGGAACCAGTGAAACGTTAAACGTGCTCGATGACCGAGGCACCGTTGGGTCAAGCGTAGGGTGCAACGTTTTTCTACTCTTTTTGGTTCCTTCGTACGAAACTTTTATCGTCGCATTCGACTCGTTTTTCTGGTCAAGCTGATACGGAACAGGATATAATTGCGATTATAATTACTCGAGTGGTAAGTTGAGGTTTGATATACTTAGATCGCTTGTACAGCGTTTGGCGTTGTCTTAACCTTTACGCGGGCACCAAGGTGCCCATTTCTCTATGCCTACTTATAACTTCTTTTATGTTTTATGGTATACAATGAAGAGGAAAACTGAGTCGACAGCTTTTAGAACGGTACAACTCTTTTAAAACTGGCCTAAATGATTTGAATTTACTTTTTACTTGAATACTTCTTTTTTAGATTTTGCTATTACCTGGAATAAATAGAATATGGAAGAACTCTCGAACCGCGTTACCTGTACAAGGGTTAATCGGCAGAGCAAGATGAATGTAAAACGAAAATAAACGTTTCATCGGCAGAAATCCAAAAGTAAGTTTTTAATATATAATAATTTAATTATGTATATATATATAATAATAATAATAAATTATTATTATTTTAATATTAATATATTATAATATTAAATTATTATATAATATATATTTAAATTAAATTTAAATTAAATTAAAAATCTCGACCCTCGGCAGCTCCTTTCCTTCTCACAGCACCTCTAGGATAGCTGTTACTCGGCGGAGTCGAATTAGGGACAGTTATCGAGAGAACACACAGCACCTATTCCGAAATCAACAGCTCGACGGCTTACCTTGGGAGCTGGCGCAAGTGTCGGCCAGAGACTCGACGGACGCCAAATAAGGGTTCGCGTTGCAGGTGTTCCCCTGGTTGCTGCATCCGCTGGAGGACGTGCTGGACGCCACGGAGCTTCCCGACAGAGGACGAGCAGCGTTCCTGCATCTTCGATTGTACCTGAGCGGCGTCAGGCCGTTGCTCTCCCGCCGATAGTGCTTCTCCTCGATCGCGCGATCGGATCGATTCTCCTGCCGACTGCTCTCCAGGGGGTCGTAGACGACCCGGTCCTTCCGGACCTCGGTCTCGGGCTCCGGCTCCGGCTCCGCCGCGATCGCTTCCACCCGGCTGTCAGACCTCTCCTCCAGGGTCATCGCGGGGTCCTCCTGCCGGGATACGGTCGCGTCCGGACAGAACTGGCCCTGACAGAACACGGACCCTCGATGGGACACCAGGCTCAGCCGCTTCTGCAGCACCGTGGGAAAGACCACGTGCTCGTTGTAGCCATTTCCGCGACGCGCTAGCTCGTCGAACATACCCAGCATCTGGGGCACCAGGTCCGTGCTCGACCCTGCAAACACGAATCATTTTTGTTCGGAATCGCTTTTCTTCCAAAATTATTATATTGTATATATTATATATATATTATTATTATATATTATATATATATAATTATATATATTATTATTATATATTATATATATATTATTATATAATTATTATTGCGCTCTTCTATTAGCATAACGCGGAACGTAAAGTATTAATAATTCTTCTTAAATGTTCCCTAATTTTTCTTCAGCTTGTAAACAAAAATGCACAATTTTGGAAAGAAGGTGATACGATTATTCGAGCCTCGCGACACGTTTTTACAGTCGAATGGCTCCAATAATCGTGTCGCCTCTTCCCAAATTGCCCAATCTGACCGTCAATTAGGGAGAATTTTCTGTATCTCGCTTACTTCGGTCGAGCTACACTCGAGTCAGCGCGTACTTCGGCGGCAAAATGTCCTGCACGTTTAAATTTACATACCGGTTTCCCGAAGCGATGTAAATTTACTCGTGCACCACTATATGAAAAAGGAACATTCGCTATTCCAGAACGACATTTCAACGGACCGCGGACTAGGCACATGCTCCCGTTCGGTTTTTAACGCGACAGGCTTTCGTCGAGGCCGCGATGTTTCCCGGTGTTTTCCAAAAACAAACGAATCCCGCCGGCGTAACGGCGGAAAACGACCGAATACGAAAGAAAACGAGGGGAACAACAAACCGTTCCAGTTTAGCACTTCCTGCGCTGTAAACCTGTTTCAAAGATGGCTAACAACTTTCGGAGGAACAGCCTTGCCGCGGTGCTTTCTGCCGTCGATACGTACATAAATAACCGGAACGGGTAAATCGTTGCGCCGGTAAATCATGCTCCGCAAAAATATACTCCGCTTTCTTTGCGTCTTCTCGATCGTGGCGATGGTGGGGGGGGGGGGGGGTTAGATGTTTGCATTCGCGGCCCGCCGGCGAAAAAAATAACTTGCTCCCTTTCGTGGAACCGTTTTCGTCTTTGTCGCGGAGCAGAAAATTCGTAGCAATAATTTGTGCTTGCGCCAACAAAATTGGACAATTTTGGAAGAGCGTTGTTCGCCGGATCGTCCTGCAGTCGCGAAACGCAGAAGCGACGCGACGGAGCACGTGTTGGCCGCGGACGACGGACAAGTTCATTGCACGTTGATTCGCGGCGTCTGCCTCGGATGAGGGGAATCGGAAACCATCGAGACCCGCTCGTTTGTTTATACAATATCCTCGTGTTTCGCGGGTCGTCCCTTGTAAACGGGCGCACTGTCTGCCAGCCAGACTGCATCGTCGACGGCGTCGTCGACGACGCTGTGGTAACCGACACGCGATACGTATGCCCAATAAAAATTACAAACAGCACCTCGCCAGTAGAGAAACGGAGCTCTCTCAGCTTTAATAACGTTTATTTACATTTTGTTCGATAATATTATATTATCGAACATAATATTATTATTATTATTAATTATAATATATTAATTTTATTAATATTATTATTATTAACTATAATATATTAATTTTATTAATATTATTATTATTATTAACTATAATATATTAATTTTATTAATATTACTATTATTAATATCATCTGTTATTTGCAGCAACCAGTCGTCGCCGTTTTTCGGGCAGCTCGTCGATCAACACGGACCCCAAGATGTCATCGTCGACCTCGGACGGCCGCCCGGATCGACGATCTTCGAGAGCGAAAACTCCGACGCGAAATTTGGCGATCTTTTTTGGCATCTCCGACAGGTCCGAACACTTACAACTTCACTTCCGAACGTGTGTCGCACAGGTTTTTACAAGCAACCGACGCGTCGCTTCCTTTCTGGAACTCGCGCCGCGTGCAGTGTCTTAAATGCACTTTACCCGCTGCCATCTTATTCGCTCCGAGCTTCGCAACTAATTGACGAAGGGCATTGAAAGCAATCCTCTGATATCCAACGAGAGGCACGCTAAAACGAGACCTCCAGCGCGACGCGTTCTACCTGCTTGTCTTGACCTGACAGGTTAAATTACCTGCAGCCTAGTAAAATACGACAGAACTTTCCCGCCAACCCGATGAAAACGTGGCGCAACTGCTCAAATAATTGTATCTATTCTTCCTAAAATGTCCATTTTTGTTTTCAAGCTGAGCGTCGGGTAGGGAGAATTTACTGTATACAGTAATGTCTCTCTAATCGACGCTCGGATTGTTCACAAAAATGGAGAATTTTGGAAGAGGAGATACGATTGAGACTTGCGGCTCGTTTTTTATGGTTATCGATTGTTAACAACTATAAAAACGAGCCGCAAAGCTCGAATAATCGTATCTCCTCTTCCCAATTGCGTCAATTAGGGAGACATTACTGCACTTCGCTTCTGTACAGTAATGTCTCCCTTACCGACGCTCAGATCGTGCATAAAAATGGACAATTTGGGAATATATTCGAGCGTTACGGCTCGAATTGTTGACAATCGGCAATCTCTTCCCGAATTGTCCATTTTTCCGCACAATCTGAGCGTCAATTAGGGACACTGTATGTTTCACTGTATTTTTCTGTACACGCCGAGCGTCGGTTAGGAAGAACTCAAGTGTAATTAGTGGAGCATCGCCACATCCGGTTCACCGTTTAGGAAATACGGAACTTTTGCAAAATCTTCGCGCGCCCGTTAAAGAGAGAAAGGTGGAGACGAGAGACAAGGAGAGGAAAGAGAGCCCCTCTCCCTTTCTCTGTCGGCGCGCCGCTTTCCGCCCGGCTCCGCTCTGCTCCGCTTCGCTCGTTGCTTGCCATATGCGTTCCTCCCCGATCGCGATGTTGCACTTGGCTGGAACTCGGCTAATAATAGAACCGGTACCAACTTTCGTCTCGGCCTCGCGTGCACCAGCTTCCTCCGCGCCTGTCACGCTGGAAACCGATGACACGGTTCGGCCTTTTGCCGTTCGTCTCTCGTTCGCTGGCCCGTCCCATAAACCATAAGCGATACTCGCCTATCCCCCCCTCCTCTCTCTCGCCCCACGGGCCCCTCCCGCGCCTGCTAGACCGTCGCGTGTTTCACGAACAAGCGTTCACGGTCTGCGTCGATCGGTGGATCGATTCGGTGGTAGATCACACGAAACGATCGACGCGCGACTCGCTCCAATTCGCGTGGAAACCCGCGGCTTTTCGATCCGATCCCGGCCGTGGGAAATTGTTGGAAATTGGCTCGGGGGGCCGCGGGTGCATTGAACCTCGGCGTTGCAGCGCCGCGACGCGACGCGCGAGCTACGGCCACGGTGACATTTAGGCCGTTTTTACCGTCAAAGGACACATTGTGGCGGCCAACCGACTGCTACGGGCGACCCGAGCTCTCACTATCTGCGTTCTCGGAATCGCGGGAGGGAAACGAATACCGCGGCTGCGACGGCTCGAATCGAATCCCGCGACTGCGACGGCTCGAATCGCCGAAAAATGGTCGAAACCTTGTGAAACGTTGTTCCGCGCGAATTTCACCTGCGAACGCGTCGAATTTCACTGCGATCTTGCACAGAGCGTCGTTGGATTCGCGCGAAATCGGCGCGATTTAACTTACCCCTCCCCTCGCACCCCTCGCGCTCTTTTCTCATCGCAGTGTCTCTGAAACGACGGGACGAAGCTTGACAATGCAAGCTCGGAAGGAAAGCTCGGTGACCGGTGCGCGCCGAATTCGATGAAACTGTTCGCAAGGGTTCGATAAATCACCCCCAAAAATTGACCTTATTTCGTTCGTGCTCGCTTTTTATTCTAAGCGAGAAATCGACCCTTTTTCGAAGCGTCCCGCCTACGTAAATGTTAATAAATCGCAACCGAGAAATAACGAGCGAAAGTAGTTCGAATTGAAGTCGTACAGTATTCTTGAGTCGATTGATCTGTGCGAGGTTTTCTTGGAGAAAAATGTGTATCACGTTTTTGCGAAAAAAGAAGGAAACGTAAATTTTGTCCAAAGAACGATACGCAACTTTCGTTTGAACCATTTTTGGGCAGCTGTTATCGTTCGCGATTTATAAACGCTTTCGTAGAACGTGCAACGTTACAAGCGAACGTGCAAGAGGAAGAAAATCGTTTTTTTTCTGTAGTAATTTTCGTCTCGCGTTTGTGATCGTGGTACAGACGGTTAGCCGAGATTCTCCCGATTTGAACGAGCCCAAACACGATGGAAATCGGGCGACGTTTATCTAAGAGCTTATCGCCATATACCGGGTGGTCAAAATGTATCGACCACCTTCAATATCTTACTTGCTTAAAAGGACGCGCGGAAACGTTGTTAAGGTCGCGTTTCGCGACTGTAATCAATCTAAAAATAATTTTTGAATGCGACAGAAGAATTTTTCACTGCAAAATCACTCGAGCCAATAATCGACCCAATAATCTAATCGGCCCAATTCGTAATAAATTTTATAGCAATAGAGTTCGCTTGTTTTCTGAACGTGTATCGGGGTTCATCGCAAAAGGTTTCGACGACGCTAACACGGCTAGCATAACATAACCACCGATAAAACAAAAAAACAGAACCGAAGCATTCGAGGGGTAACGAGATCGATCGAAAATCGTTTCGTATTGGGAGGAGCATAGGAGGATCGAGATCTCGTTGTGCCGTCTCCGATTCGAATTCAATGAACCGACGGGCAGCGTGGCGCCGGGCGGGCAAAAATAGCGTACGGCGAGCCGAAAGAAAGGGAAACGTCCGTTCATTGACGAAAAGCAACGAGAGAGCTTGGCCGCTGAAAAGTCTCAAGAGCCGGCCAGACCGCTTCTCCGTCCCGCTTCATCCTTCTTTCGCGCCCGCTGCTCTCTTGTATGCCGGCCACGTTGCTCTGACTCACCCGGCTGGCCGGCCGACGAAGGAGGAACGGTCGCAAACAAAGCTCGCGATTCAAGCTCCTCCAGCGTCGGCTCGGAAAGCCCGGTTCTCGCAATCGCGATGGGGAAACTCGCGCTTTCGATACGGAGATGCGTCTCATTTGCGCCCGTTTCTATGCAACGAGCCGCCTCGACGCGCTCGGTGCCATCGCCGATACCATCGCCGATCCTCCCCGGGATTATAATAACACATGCATTGTGTACGAACGGTTATGGTTCTCGCGATTCTACGCGCCGGAGATCATTCGGCGATGATGAATCGTCTCTGCGCGGCCGGCAAACCTCGTGGATGCTGCAACGAGCATTGTTAATTGTTTATGGCATCGATGTATATGCATGCTCGCTGGGCGCACCGCGGTTCGACGGCGGAGACTGCGCCACAATTACTGTGTTTCGATTACTGTGCTGCAATTATTGTGCTTCGGTTACTGGGCTTCAATTACTGTGCTTCAATTACTGTACCTCAATTATTGTGCTTCAGTTACTGGGCTTCAGTTATTGTGCTTCAATTACTGTGCTTCAACTACTGTGCTTCAATTACCGTGCTTCAATTACTGTATTTCAATTTCTGTACTTCAATTACTGTACCTCAATTATTGTGCTTTAATTACTGTACTTCAATTATTGAGCTTCAGTTACTGGGCTTCAATTATCGTGCTTCAATTAATGTGCCCCAATTGCTGTGCTTCAATTACCGTGCTTCAATTACTGTGTTTCAATTGCTGTACTTCAATTGCTGTACCTCAATTATTGTGCTTCAATTACTGTAGCTCAATTATTGTGCTTTAATTACTGTACTTCAATTATTGAGCTTCAGTTACTGGGCTCCAATTACCGTTCTTCAATTACTGTACCACAATTATTGAGCTTCAGTTACTGGGCTTCAATTAATGTGTTTCAATTGTTGTACTTCAATTACTGTACCTCAATTATTGTGCTTCAATTACTGCGCTTCGATTAATATAGCCCAATTGCTGTGCCGCAATTATTGTGCTTGAATTGCTGTGCTACAATTATCGTGTTTCAATTGTTATACCTCAATTATTGTGCTTCAATTACTGCGCTTCGATTAATGTGCCCCAATTGCTGTGCCACAATTATCGTGGCTTCAATTACTGTGCTACAATCACCGTGCTTCAATTACTGTGCCCGAATTATAGCGCCTTATTGTGCTTTAATTACCGCGCTTCAATTAACGCGCCCCAATTGTCGTGCCGCAATTATCGTGCTTCAACTGCCGCGCTCCAATTAATGTGCTCTATTTACTGTGCCCCAATTACTACGCTCCCGTCCTTAATACCGAGCCACGACTACAGAGTTCGCAATGAAAATTTAATATTCGACATACTTTTCACATCGACCAGTTTTTACGAGTATACTTGTCGCGACACAAAATACCGCCACTTCCCGGTGACGAGTATACTCGTCGAACCCGGCCGACCGGTATTAATATTCCCGGGCTATTCCGCGGCCAGGGTCGGCCGCGTAGACATTTCATTCGATCGCGGCCGGCGTTTGGCTAACTATTCTGGTAAACGGATCCCCCATAACTCGTCCTTCGAACGATTTACGAGCGGTGTTCCGATTTGAACTCTGACCGTCGACTTGCGCGCGGCGGCCGTGCGCAGCCGTGCTCTATCGGCCTGCCGTCAGCGTTCAAAATAAAATCTGCTGTCAAAGTTATTCGAGCCGGAGCTGGAAGGGTGTAAACTATACCATTTGGTTGGCAACCAAGTAATTGCCGATTTGTTCGATGAAGTAAAAAATTTTTTTTTACTTGGAACGAAGTTTAATCTGTAATGTATTTTCCATTTTGTTCGATGACCTTTCGCCATCTCTCCGACAACTCGAAAATTCCACGCTCGTAGAAAGTCCGATCCTTTTCGGCCAAAA